CTTCTATGATCTGTTCCTAATCAGAGCCATAAATCCAACATCCAGCGTCATATGATCCGCTGTACTGATAAGTCATATCTCTGCCTGCCGTGGATTAAATCCATATTCAAAGACAGCTTTCCATCCGGCTCAGAAGGATCAATACATTTGTTCAGTCTGTCTGTACCAGTCAGTGCAGAGCGCTGTGTGGTGTCAGTCAGCGCTGCCGTCTGCTGTGAGCACACACCATTAGAGATGCTCTGCAGTCTTGCACTGAGCGTGTAGCATTTGTGCCTCTGTTGCTGCCCGGCCCCCTGCCTGCCTGCCTGCTCAGCGGCCTGTCGCACAGGATTACATCGCCTTGCTGACAGAGTCGTCGTTGGCCGCGTGCTGCTTCAGCGGGGGCTCCATGTGTGAGCCCAACATTTAACTCTGCCCGCTCGGTGTGAAGCCGGGTCGCTGACACGGGTCACACAAAGTTGATAACAGGGAGCACCGAGGTTATTCTGCACTCATCCTTTAACGTATACTTAAAGCAGCTGTCAGCACTGTGTCTTAAGACATACTGCTCCTTTATGATCTGAGTTTTAATGCAGGGTTTAAGTAAATGTCATCCTGCATTTTAAAGTTCATTCAATCCAACACCTTATTTACTTTTCATTAAAGGCAGTGTGCTTGAAGTTTCCCATATCAGGCGATATCTTAAATTAAAAACAGGAATAGTAATAAACAGAGGACTCAGTTTGAAAGAATCATCCTGAACCCGTTCTCCTGTTTGCACACAAATAATACGGTAAGATCACTCGGCTTCCAACACCCCCCCATCTCCTCTGACAACCTCTGATTGTGCTGACGGGCGCTTCGGCCTCTGTCTGCGCCCGCGTGCCCTGTGAGGGATCCGTCTGTAATTATGCTGAAAGAGAGTGGTCACGGTGTGTCAGTCAGTGCCAGGCTGCTCTCTCTTAATTGGTTGGCTCTCTCAGTGGCTGCATCAACAAAGAGCGAAGCCTCGACAGGGGCAGAGCGGTGAAAACGTCCTAAATGCTGTAATCTGTAACACTGAAATCTGCTCTGAATGTTAACAGAGCTTTCAGGTTAACACAGCAGTGTTCACATACTTAACCAATGATGTTTATCTGGTTAGAAAAATGGTCATACGTTTTGCATTTTGTGTTAGGATTTATGACCACTATGATACACAGTCATTATATCTTGTTCAACAAGGTTGAGTGGTTTTATCTCACACAAAGACGTGATATACATCGGTATCTTTTTAAAGCTATCAGAGGAAAATAAACATCATACTTAACAGACTCGTACATCTTCGGGCTGGGCAGAAACGTTCCTCAAAGCAGTTACTGTTCAATGTTCCTCGAGTCAGATCAGAACTGGAAATATCTGCTTTTTTCTAATTCAACACCGGATTCTTAGAATAAGTTACAACATCTGCTTGAGGGAAATTAACTTTTCGGCATTTTAGAAACCTAAATTTGAAACGTCCCAACCTCCGTTTGTTTCACCTGTTCATCTGGACTATGGTCAACTTGGAGTTTGTTTTCATCGGGGGAGGGGAGTAGCAGAGAGAATCAGTCCCATGATTCACCGCCAGCCTCAACTTAATCTTTTGTTATTATTTTCATTGAGAGCCCCCTGGTGGTGGAATTTAAATACTGTGCGTTTATACAAATTATTAATGTTTTGGCCTTCAATGTTGCTCAAATGTTGAGCTCAAACTGCAACACAAGCAGATCGCCACTAACTGCTTTCCCTGCTCTACTACCTGGATGTAAACGAGCACAGTGAATGGATATCATCAATCTAGAAAAATGGAAGATAAAGGTTAAGATCAGGTTAAACTGGCATAGCGACCAGAGCGATGTGTAACCACATTCAGCTCGGGCATGTTAAGCTGCAGGGACGACTGAAGGCTGGCGATGCTAGAGATGCTAATGTTAGCAACACTTAGCAAACCAATTTATTGTTCACCTGCTGACAACTTTGTATAAATTGTGGGCGATTTTGAGTATTTCCTGAGTTTTTTTTCATACCTTTAGATGAAACAGGAATTACATTTCCATTTAGCCAGACTGGGAAAAGAGTCGTCTGGGAACATCTGTAGATCTTTTCAGTTACATTTTTGTCATTTTGGATTCGAGATGAGACCAAACTTAAGGTTCAAGTATTAGGGATCATTTTCCGGGCAACATGAATTTCCACGGCAGAAGATCTCCACATGAGTGTTTGTTTATCAGATGTAAGTCACTTTGTTTCTCTCCATCTCTTCAGCTCTTTCTCTTTCCTCTCATTATAAGGTTGGTGTTGATTATCTCACTTCACAGTGGTTACAGTTACTCAGTGACTCTGTAAATGAGTACAGGCGTGCGGTTTCTTTCTGTGATCCTCTTCATGTTTACCCAAGCCCAAACCCCTCCTTCATTCTTCCTCAGTGTGTCCTCACAGTGTGTCAGCAGTGAATACATTTACTGCCTCCGCTGCAGTCAGATGAGGTGACTCAGCCTGGAGACAAAGAAACGCAGGGGAGAGGGAGACGGGCAGCGGAGAGTGAAATATGTATTCTGACTGAGGACAGACCCCCGAGCTGAAGGCCGGACCAGACACTTTGTCTTCAGAGCAGAGGCTGGATTTATCGCCTGTTGTGTCTGCGCTGAGAAACAGAAAAGAAACTGAGAAACTGCGGAGAGACAAATTAGACGGTGTTTATTCCTCTGGGAGTAAACTAAAGTGTTCCTGGGTAATCTTGTTGTCCCTGCTGTGGTGTGGCTGCTGCCATTTTTCAAATCTTTGCGTTTAATTCTGCAGAGGAGGGCGATGCTAGCTGTTGAGGATGTACTTGGAGATGTTTTTAGACTTCAGTCTTGAGCTTTGTTTAGGTTTTTCAGGACAAGGCAGGAACGTGCTTACAACATGGCTAAGGGTGGTTTCACATTAGGGACCCGGATCCGAGTACACTTGACCTTAAAGTCCAGTTCATTTGATCATTGTGAACAGAAACCGTCCTCGGGTAATGTGCCCATGTCTGCTTGGGAATGATTCATGTGTACTCGAGTACGCTGCACGCTACATGTGGAAGTAGGAAGAGGGTTGTTGTTTGGCGTCTCAGAAATAACACAAACATCCACAGTTAGCAGGATGGACTCAGCCAGCGAGTGGTTGCCATGGTTGCATTTTTGACAGCCAGCTCTCCTTTGATCACCACGTCACCCATCTCAGAAGAACTGCCTTCTTTCACCTTAAAAACAAAGCCAGTCTGCGTCCATTACTCTCTTTCTATGCTGAGGAAACACTTACCTATGCATTCTCCATAGCCGCCCCCTCCCTCTGGAACTTATTCCCCACACATAGTCAACACTACCTTCAAATCATCCCTCGAGACTCTCCTTTTCAAACAAACAAAGTGTGTGATTGTGCTGTGTGTTCTTTTAATGTGTGTGGTTTGTATGATCCTCTTCTGAGTCCGCGTAGCGCTCCTTTCTACATTTTTTGAAACAACACGTGTTAAAACAGTGACTCCCACTGCAGTAGTAGATTTTGTAATCAGAGGATTATAGGAAATTATTTATCTGTAGCCTGCACAGTAAAAAGAAGCGCTGCTTTGCTAGAGTCCAACATGTGGACGACAGGTGAAGATTTGTCTCCTGGCTGCTTAGACTGACTTTGATTGTTTGGCTCCATGATAAAAAAAAAAAAAAAAACCCTTCATCCAGTAGCCAACACTCTGTCCGCCCACTGTTCTCCATTAAGATCAACGGGGTGATGGTGACGGCAGAGCTCCACGTCTCCCCTTCTGTCTGACCGGCCTCGTCGATGTTCCTCCTGAAAGAGACATATTATTTGTGTGAGTCATCCAGAGAGCAAACTGTGTGTCAGCCTTTAAAAGAAACAAATATCCTGCCTCCCAGAGCCGAGTGCGTATCAGTGGAGGGATGTTGTCTGTAGAGAGAGCAGTGTGACGGGGGGAAACCTTGAAGGGACTGATGAATCGTCTTGTTTCTTCTTCCAGACACAACGTTTTATCTTATTAACCAACAGTCAAGCATTTGTTTCAAGTATTAAGACGGCTTTAGTCATAGTTTTAATTTCCCCTCTCAGTATCAGGATGTATTTCATAGTTTTGATGTATTCCACCTCGTATCACATTCAGTTAAAGATGGGGGGGTATGCCAGGGGGCGCCAGATAGCCAGGGGGCGCCAGATAGCCTTTATATCGTGCTCCCCATGTACAGAGGCCATAGTCCTCGTCAGAGAGAGCTGTCCCCCCCCGCCCCCTCCTCTCTAGAGTCGTTGCTCACGCAGGTTGCCATGTGGTGGACACTGCAGCTTCAGTGTTTATCCAGCTCTGCATGGGTCTGTAAACCTTTCTGTGTTCTAACCTCTCTCCATTTTTCTAAATCATCTCCAACATTGATCCTAGTTTGAGCACGTTTCTGCTCGTGGAGCTTATTAGAAACATGCAGAGGCTTTTTAGGTCGGGTACAATCACTTCTATCTGAACCACTTCTCTTGTCCGCTTCCATCACTGCAACACCTGTTGACCTGATAACTGCTCTCATATCTGGTAAACTGAGGGGCGTCCAAAACGGCCGTGTGGGGGTGCCTTAAAAGCGCCTACCTTCTCTGGTCCAAACAAATCCAGAGCATTCAGGAGCAGAATCTAAAGTTAGAAGGAGGACATACTGGCTGCTGCATTGTTGTCAGAGAAGCCAGCACTTCAACATAGCATGTTTCATTAATGTCTGATCATATAGTGAGATACCTTTATCATTTCATTCAATAGATATCAAATTGTTCTTTTGTCAATGTGACCAATCAGTGGCTAAAACAATAACTTTAAAGATATATATACTTATCAACTGGGGACTTATTTCAGCCTGTTATTGTTCTATTTGTCATTTACACCTGAAATATGTCAAACTTGACTTGTAATGACGGTCATTTCATTTCTCACTCATGTGTCATCTTCACCGACCTGATGTCATTTGCTTCCTCGTGTCGTTCCACAGATTATAGATAATGGGCTGTGTGCAATGCAAGGATAAGGAAGCAACCAAACTCACAGACGACAGAGACGCCAGCATCTCCCAGGGAGCCGGGTACCGCTATGGCGCCGACCCCACGCCGCAGCACTACCCCAGCTTCGGGGTCACCGCCATCCCCAACTACAACAACTTCCACGCCCCCGTTGGACAGGGGATGACTGTCTTCGGGGGGGTCAGCACTTCCTCTCACACGGGGACCCTAAGGACTCGCGGTGGGACGGGTAAGGGACAGTTCATGATCTCAGGTTGAGGACTTTTCCTGTCCTGTTTGCATTTGTATCCGTTTGAACATATGGTTGTAAAATGTGGTGGTGCTGAACTGTTCTAGGAGCTAGAACACACAAAGAACACACTTTTCTTTGATCACAGCCTTTTCTCATTAGCTGCACGTTGAAAAGGTCAATGCCAGAAAAATAAGTCAGAGTTTGCACTGACTGAACTTTAAAGGTCACATATGCAAAACACACTTCAGCATGTTTTTCTAACACGAATGTAGTCTGTCTGAGAAAGTTCCATCCTCGTCTTTTACCTGCTCCACTTTTCAGAAAATGTGTGTTCAAACAGGCCGTTTGGAGATTTTCCCCTCATGACATCACAAAGGGCAGTAGCCCCTCCCCCAGGTGGGTGACACTCCCACAGCTAGGTGTTTGAGTCTGCCTTCAAACCGTAAACAATAGGACATGGAGCGATGTTGTCTCTAAATCATGAAATCCCTAGAATATGTAGAAAAAGAACCCAGGTTTTCTTTTTGCGGGGCGCTGGTGGGACAGTGGTTAGTGCGTGCGTCCCATGTGTGGAGGCTATAGTCCTCCAAGCGGGCGGCCCAGGTTCGAATCCCACCTGTGGCTCCTTTCCTGCATGTCAATCCACTCTCTCTCCCTGATTTCAGACTCTATCCACTATCCTATCTCTCTCCTTTAAAGGCACAAAAAGCCCAAAAATAAATCTTAAAAAAAAAGTGAGGTTTGCATTCAAGAGAAATAATCCAATTGTTGCAAAAAAATGTGCAAAAATGGTTTGATGCCAGCCACGTGCTCAATCGCAGCTCACTGGAAGATTACATCTGTGTGAGCAAAGAGAAACAGCTGCACGTCGGCTCAGTCTGCGGCCGCTCTGGCCAGCTTCCAGGTGAAGTGTGTGTGGGACTAAGAGAAGGTTCACTGCAGTGGAAGTCCCCTGATCAAAGTGAAACAAATGACTGCAGGAGTGAAAACACGGATCAGCTCCTCAGTCACACAGAATGACAAGCGAGAGTAAGGGAAGGATGTCTACTGGAGCAGAAGTTGTTGGGTGTTTTGCAGAGAACAAAGAGGCAGGAAATAATTCATTTGAAGGGTTCTTCATGGAGAGAGATGTGTCTTTGTTGTTCGTCAGATGAGGAGGACGAATCTTCAACACATACTGGAGTGTGAAGGTTTTTTTTCTTTTGACTTCATTCCCACACAGATAGAGGCTTCCCAGTACGCACACAGCGTTCACAGCTCACCCACACACACTGTATCCAAACTCTCAGGGATGCTCTGCACAGTTAATGACTTCCTATAGCATCCAAAAATCCTGACAGTCCTGACCCCTCTGAGCCCCCCCGCACCCTGACAGCTCCACGGCTGACCTCGCCCGGCCCCCTGTCAGGAACGTCCGGCTGGCATTAGCACGGGGCTTTGTGCTCGGGGGGCTCTTTGTTTGGGTAGGGAATATTCCCACTCAGGATATCCTTTATGTCTGACTGAGCCGGGGCCGCTCTGCAGAGGAACTCAGCGTTTCCACTCAATTTAGCAGGAGTCCACTCTCCCTCAAAAAAAAAAAAAGTGTGGATTATTTTTTTCTGCGCTGCATAATCGAAATCCACACAGTGGCAGAGGAGCAGAGAGGGGGTTTAGCTTTTTAATTTTCTCCTGGTGGGGAGAAATTTGGACATAAGCCGTCTCTCTCTCAAACCTCGTTATAACACAGCTGCACCCCCCTCACTCTCGCCTGGAGGAACCCAAATTGCAATTGGCAGCAGAAGTTTTATTGATTATCAGTTGATCTTTTCCAGCTTATGTCATTCCCCCACATGGAAATATTCACAGCTTGTCCTCTGACCTTATGCAACTCATCGAGCAGGATCCCACCAGATGAATCCATACTCTGCACCCACCTCTGCTGAGCTAATGGAACATTCAAAACAACCACAGCTGTGATGCATTCAGGGTCCTCGTTATGCAGCGAAGGTTAGGAAACTGCACGTGTTTCTATCAGACGGTCTGCTCTCCTTTTCTCTTCTGTCACATGAAAAGCAGCAGGTTCGTCTCCTATCTGCAGTCCCCATCAACCTCACACAGCCTCTCCATATCAGCGCTGTTTCCCAGAAAGCCTTGGCCTGCTGAGAGAGTCTGAAGTGAAAATGACTTGAATAAATGCGATCAAGAGGGTTTAAGTGGACTTTGAAGAAGTGCCTGTTCAACTTCCATTTGTCAAACACTCCAAAGGCATGAAACAGCCTAACAGCTGCAGTCAGCTCAGACCTGAACAAAACACTCAGAGAGCTGCTTTTTGTCTCTTCTCCAGAACGCAAACCAAACTCATCAAAGACTGTTGTGAAGTGCAGAGATCTGAACCTTTTACTAACACGCTCAAATGAAGCCCGACAAACACGACGATCACACGGGGTGCAACACCAAAGATTAGTCAAACTCACCTGAAAGGACGAAGAACTCTGAAGGATCAAAGATTTTACTAAACGTGTTTCTGTAAACACACTTTTCCCGACTCACTTCCAGCTTTCTCTCCTCGTTACCATCATCTGGATCTACTGCTGTCTGAACGAGACTTGCCTTTTGTTCTTGAAACAGTAGTTTGAATTTTTTTTGTCAAAAGGTCTGATGCTTTTATGAAACCAGAATCAACGGTGACATCTCTCTGAAAAGCAGCCAGCCTTGATTTACGACAACAACAGTTTCAGCGTGCAGAGCATGTGAGGTGGTGTAATACAACGGGCTCCATCTGTTCCCTTTTTTTTTTTTATCGGTTTGTGTTTGAAACAAACAAATTAAAAATAAAGTCATACAAAAAGAAGACAGCAGTGCTCTAGGTGAAAGACCTGAGTGTAAAACCTCTGATTGGGTTCAGTTTAGCTCTCACCAGCTGGTTAAAGAAGCATCTTGATTTGCCTTGCTATCAGCCTTTGGGACTTTCCAAAACAACATCACAGTCGAGGGTAATCAAACATCTACTTAAAACAAAGCCTCTTTTTAGAAGAACCAAGCGCGATGCTGCACCTGCAGCTAAGAACCAATAACAGACAGCATCTCTGGGGCGAGTCGAGCAAAGGACTTAGTGTATGTAGCATCGCTCTCCATCATTTCTCATCATCTGTCCTAATGCACAAATATGAACTTATGAAAAAGAGGTAAATGGACTTGAGCTTGTTTCGCACTTTTCTAGTCTTCTGACTACTCAAAGCGATTTAAAAGGTCTCACCTTCACATTCACACACTGATGGTAGAGGCTGCTCTATAAAGAATCCATCAGTATTAACTCATCCATTCATACACATTCACATGCAGCTGATGAAGCAGCAGGCAAACTTGAGGTTAAGTGTCTTTCCCAAGGAAACATTGTACATGTTGCTGCAGGAGTTGGGGATTGAACCCCTGACCTTCTGCTTGGGAGATGACCGCCTCTACCAACTGAGCCACAGCCGCCCCAGAAAGATGGTTATTATGATTTTTTTCTGATAAGGATTAGCAGGTAGAGGTTGAAGGGATGTTGAATATGGCACCCAAATCAGAACCTGTGCTTAGGTTAGTCACCACCGGGTGGCTGCTTTAACAAACAAGGACACACTTGATCCGTCCAAATTCAGGGGAAGCGTCCTTAGAAGTATGTGTAGGTTGTAGCGAGCGGATTCAAATCCACGGCCGCTGCAAAGAGAACTATAGCCTCTGTGGTCCATGTGTAGCATCTCTGAATGTTTATAAGGCTCCACTTTCAGTTCAGGCTTTTCATAAGCCACAGAGTGTTTCACTTTGAGAGTTAGATCTGACTTTTTTGGTTAAGTTAATTTAAAGCGACCCAGACTTTGACCCCAGGATCCCACAACATTGTTACTAAAGCCCCGTTTCCACCAAGCGGTCTGGTTCAGTTCGGTTCAGTCTGGTACGCATTTATTGGCGTTTCCACCGACAGAAGTTTGGATTGGTACCAAAATAACCAATCTCTTTGTTCTACGTTTGTGCTACACTTCTGTTGGGGTGCCAAGCGTACCGATTGGCCACTGAAGGGTGAAGCTAAACACACTGCAGTCCATTGATTGGTTTAGAGAATTGTCACTTCCTGTGCGACAGTGAACAAACACAAATTACTCTCTTGGATTTTGAGAGTCATTTCAAGTCTGTTTTTGTTTTTTATAACTCAGGTGCAGACCTCTACTGGACGTCCTCCATTTTTGCCATTTGTTGACTGTGTCCAGTTCTTCTTCTTCGTTGAACTTATTGGTTGGCTACACTGTGCTGCTATGATGTCACGCTGTAACCTAACCACGTGGCTTATAAGGATACTGTTGGCTGTGGAAACATAAGCTAGATCAGGGTTTACTGTACCAGATTGTACCATATTGTACTGAACCAAACCAGACGGCTTGGTGGAAACAGGACATAAAAGTCTGTGTTTTCATGTCTCCATATATTCAGTTTATATCATGTCCTACCATCCTCACCTAAAGGCTATTTTAACAGCTTGAGTTTTTCTCTGCATCATAATTCCTTTTGCTTTGTTAACCTCCCGCTGTGATCTGTTAACACATCCTACAATGAGCCTTAATTCCCTTTTCACACTTGCCACAAGCCGCAGCAATAAGCAGAAGTGTCAGGGTGAAAAAAATGTTCCTGTGAGAGACAAAAGTGCTGCCGGGAGCTATTAAAACCAGAGCTGCTGTTCCTTCTTCTCCTGTGACGAGGGTGACTTCATTAGGATTAGAGGAGGGAGAGGGGATAAGACTCAGGGGGGAAAGAAGGTGACTTTAGGTACTTTGTGGGAGGAATTTAGATTCTGCAAAGGTTTTTTCCTGCCGTTATCGAAGCCGATTGTACGGAGGGGAAGGAAGCTGAAGGTAAAAGAATTACAGTGAGCAAAGGTTAACGATGCTGCAAGAGAAGACGCTGCTATGATGGAAACTAAACAGCCCACAAGATGTGATGTCTGACCACATGAAACTATTAACCACTGTTACATCGCCTCGTGGTTTAGAGCCTCACAGGTTCAACATGGAGCTGCACTCCTCTGTATATGAGGAATGGTTGCTGTGATTCTTCTCCTAAACGATAAGAAGGTAGAGGTTAAAGGGATGTCGATAATGGCATCCAAGTAAGACCCTGTGCAAAGTTAGTGGACACTGTGTGGCTGCTTTAACAAAGAAGGACACACTTGATCTGTCAAAATTCAGAAATAGCATCCTTAGAAGGATCCAGCCTTCGTAGGCTACATGGACTGCTCAGGCTGAATTGAAATGAGATGTTCTGGTCTACAGAAGACTTCCTGTTTACACCCTTACCCAGTGGTTACTAAGCATTGCTCCTGTTGCCTAGCAACCTTTACAACTGCATCCTAACTAGCCTTTGTGGTCACAACTATTTTAAGGGTATTTTCAAGTTTCAAGGCCCCTTTTCAAGGCCCCTTTTTCCTCAAGTTGAAACCACTTACTCACTTAACTTTTAAAAAGTCATCGTTGGCCACTTGAAAGTCCGCTACCTCGTTTGACTTTGGGTGAGAGGAATCTCGGTACATGTCGGGCCACCAAGGGTTCATTGGATAGATTCTTCATGGCCCGGGGGAACGTTAGGACGCATTTTAAGGAGCAAACGAATTGGGACCGCCTTAACTCACCACTGTGACGCAATTTATCTTCAAATTCTCCCTCCGAAGGATGCGGTCCTGAAATAAGACACAGCTGACGTCTGCAACTGAGACGTTTGCCTCAGTACACTTAAACCAAATGTGCAAAATGTACGCAGGAAATGACATATGACTGTTGGGTTTCACAAAATGTTTTTGAGTTTCATGAGAGCTTTTTACGTTTGTCTGTCGTTTCTGCATTTCATGAAACGGTGTTGTGTTTCAGGAAATGTTTTTGCATTATGAAATGGTTTCATGTTTCATGAAATGGTTGATTGGAATTACAAACTTATATAACTGCTTTTTAAAAAAAGAAAAAACAAGCAAGCTGCATCTGAAATATGTTCTTGGGAAGCATGATTGGTTAGGATTAGCAGCACCAAAGCTTCATTAACTGGAGGTGGCTTTTGACGCCTTTGCATGAATTTTCTCTTTTTAATATATCCATTAAATCCAACATGTCAGACTCTCATTCAGACCACAGATCGACCTCTCTTCACTCAGCGTGCTGCAGCTGCCAGCACGTCCTCACTCAAACACCATCCTGAGCTTCATTTTCTCTCACTAATCTGCCGAGTGCTGACGCTGTGTTTCCATCCGTCCTGCAGGAGTCACCCTCTTTGTGGCACTTTATGACTACGAGGCGCGGACAGAAGACGACCTCAGCTTCAGGAAAGGAGAAAGGTTCCAGATTATCAACAGCACGTAAGTCTCTCACAGCTGCTTATCTGACCCGCCCACACTCAGGAGGAAAGCTAGTTTCCCATTTTATCAGTGCACTGAAGGGGCTGGAGCTGCTGGGAGAAGAGCAGGCACAGTGTTGTATTTCAGCGGAGGTAAAAGTGGCAGCTCGTATAGGGTAAAGAAGTGTTTTAGTTTCACAATCTGGTGCAAGCTTCAGCTCAGAATAAGTCGGCTTTACTGCAGCTTTGGGAGACTCTGACAATACCTACAAAAAGAAACCTAAATATAGAATCGGCATCTGCTTTTTATGCACGCAGAATTAAAGAGTGCCAAGCATTTCAGTGAGGTGAAAGTGGTGGCTTCAACATGTAATTTGACGATAAGCAGTAAACACAGTTTATTTAGGATTTACAGAGGGTGGAGCCGAGTCTGCAGCACGCAGGGATGAGTGCGACGCTCCTTCAAGACTTCCCTCCGAGCCTGGACAGGAAGTGCCCCGTTACACCCTCAGAGATGTTTGCTAGTCTTTCAGTCTTCTAGTAGAGCAGTGTGTGTGTGTGTGTGTGTGTGTGTGTGTGTGTGTGTGTGTGTGTGTGTGTGTGTGTGTGTGTGTGTAGCAGCTCGATCGTGTCTTTAACCATCCTGGCCTCAGCTTGCGGATGGTTTTCATTTTCTCTGCTTCCTCTCTGTTTTGGGTTCCTGCAGTGGTGCAGTGACATTTGAGGAGGCGGGGGGGGGAGCGCTGAGTCTGTGCTCTGACTCTGTTCTGCTTAAGACTTCACTGTAATGAGGCTGCAGAGGTACTGCTCTGCATGCTGTGACCCCATTGTTTCATAATAAAGCTGATTATCTCTATCCTAGCTGTCAGGAAACAATATGTTGTGGACCTGCTCCAACAGGCTGCTCCTTTATATCAAAGCTATGTGTAGTTCAACAGAATGACAACATCAACAAAAGAGTGGAGAACAACTTACTGATGAACTGAAATCATAAAGCAGCTGTTTAATTACATGCACTCTATGCACCTTGCAGCAGTCACAGGATATAAACATCACTCCCCCCTCCTATTGGCTCGAGGTGAATTCTCCTGATAATATCCTGCTGTGTTCTCACATCAGCTCACTCGGACTTGTTGCAGAAAAAATACTAAGGGGTCTGTCAGGAGAACCTCTGGGTGAAGTCAGAGGGAAACATTCAGCTGTTTTGAGTTCACACAGCTCCTCCCTGAAATGTCAGGAGTTTTTCAGGAGATTTCTGCAAGTGTGAAAGCCCTAAAAGTGTGCATGCTCTATGGGCCCAGTAACTTGGAACACACACCGGGGAACACATGGAAGTCAGACTTTTTAGCCTTATGTGCCACTGAGCAGCTTTCATAGGAATGAAATGATCCATTCTGTAATTCTGTAATGCATCCATGGAACAGAGGTTACTGTACAGTCCTCGTCTCAGAAGTGGTGTGTTTGAATCTGACTTCGGACCTTTGCTGCATCATGCCCCCCTGCCATTTCTGTTTTTAAAAAGAGGAATGTTCTAAAACTAAAAGATATATATAACAAAAAGGAATACTCAGTCTATAGGAGAGAAAAAAGAAACAGGAATAAAGAGGAAGAGGAGTAAGCATCGTGGCACTGTCAGACATTATGGTGATGAATGCTGGTTGGAGGGCCCCAAATATATTTTTTGCAGAGGGCCCCAGCAGACTCAAGAATTACCACTGAGGCCGACGGCCCCGGTACCAATCAGACCTGTGGCTCCTTTCCTGCATGTCAGTCCCCACTCTCTCTCTCTCTCTCTCTCTCTCTCTCTCTATTCTCCCTGTCTGTATCCACTGTCCCATCTCTAAAAAGAAAAGCCTGAAAAATAAACCTTTAAAAGATATAACAATATGTCTGTCAGTGGAAAAAACAAACAGTTTGTACATGATGTTTTTGACAGATAATTACAGCTTGTTTTGTGGCTGCAGGCTGAAGAATTCTCAAACCTTACTATGTATAAAACAAACAAACAGAGCTCAGGTCTAAAAACATTCATGCAGTTTTAGAACCAGTCAAAATGTTGAAATGAATGCAGTTACTTTATTGATACTTTTCCTTCACACACACATGCAGTCTCTCTGATATGAAATGTTAATGTGCCATATGGGCACTTCTCCTGATGAATTATGTAAACTCTTTACTGTACATGTCCGCCTCATCACCTCGGCCTTTGGCCCAACAAGGTCGTTCTTCCTCCTCACCACACCCAGTTAGCATCCTGTCCCCGCCAGCGTGCTGCACATTCCTCCACACACACACACACACACACACACACCTCGGTCTCTGCTGGGCCTCAGCCACAGCAGGAAGACCCTGTCATTAGAGCGCAGACTCTTCTCCTCTTCCTCCTCCTTCTCCTCCTCCTCCTCAGCAGGGGCATCTTCCACCCTCTCTGCTCTCCTCCATGCCCCTCTCATACCCTCCCCACCCCTCCTTGTCCTCCCACGCCTCACTGCTTCAAATATGTTCTGAGCTTCTTCCACACTGACCCCTGCTGGACATGAGGAGATAAAAGCCCTAAATCCTCTGCTGCTTTTGCCTGTCAGAGCTGGCAGGAAGTGACTGACAGATGCCAGAGTAGGGGGGGTATGAGCCACCAGAGATCCCAGCACCATCACCCAGTCTGAGCCTTATTTTGTTTGGTGATGGTCTTCCGCTCTCAGAGTTGTTACTGTGAAGCTTCATCAGACATAATCAGGAAGCAGCACCTGTTTTACTCAAAGAGCCTGCGCTGTTAGTAAACTAAAGTGTTCTCTGACTAAGCTGCGTTCATGAATACACACACTGTGGTGGTATGAATGGTATGTACTGTACGACTCTCGTTTACAAAAGAGATGTTCCAAAAGCTGTTTTCTGCATTATACCAATTACAAAGCCTAAGTCAGCAGATGAATGAATGAAACCTTTATTGTAACTCGGGGAATTTGCCTTGCACCAAGAGCAAAGAAAAAGAGAAAAATGACAAACAAGTTGCAACCTCCGGTGTTGAAAAAAGTAGTCAGATGCAGAAGTGCAAATATCCTGCAGTTCCCAGAGTGTCCACTAGAGACAGGCTGCAGATGCACCGGAAGTCACATACACACCCATTCAAAAAAGACAGTTTTTACAGCAGAAATTAACATGTTTACAGCCTGGTTCAAAAAAACAAATAGGTCTGATTAGTTCATATCTGTAGGGGGGTGAATGTTTTGATGACTCATCAGTTTTGATTTGATGAAGGATAAGAGTTATTCACAATAAGGCGTGTAGCTGACTTGATTGACAGGTGGGCACGATGTAACAGTTTGTCAGGAGACTTAAAACCCGCCTCAGCTCCAGCTCTCAGTCTGTTGTTAGGTTGACTGAAAGTTAGGATGAGATAGGATTTCCAGCATGGAGACCGCCATTGATGGGACTCCAGCGCCCCCTGCAGGAACAGCAGTAGCACCACACTGTTGTTGTTTTACGATGTCATTCTTTTAAACACTTTCCGCCCTTAAACAGTCGTTTGCTGTGGTAACCGTATGGGCCGTTTTTCACATTGAAGGTTGGATGTTGGAGCTGGTAACGACATCCCACCCAAGCAAGAAACATTGAAGGACCTTTGTTTTGTTAGCTAATATTTTGCATTAACAACAAACTATGTGACAGCATTTTTTAAATACTATCGGTGTGATTGATTCCAATAAACACTATAATGTACAGCTTATAGCTTATGTACAGCCTCAGCCACAGCAGGAAGACCCTGTCATTAGAGCGCAGACTCTTCTCCTCCTCCTCCTCCTCCTCCTCCTCCTCAGCAGGGGCATCTTCCACCCTCTACCATTTTTTAAATACTATCGGTGTGATTGATTCCAATAAACACTATAATGTACAGCTTAAACTTTACTGTTGATGAATGTAGCAGCCATGTTGGATTTTAACTCGGGTTACTGAAGTTCTGCAGAGTTTTCAAGTCAGATTCCTGACTTTAGGGGGCTTTAGGGGGCGTGGAAACTCAGAATTTCCGACTTCTCAGATCAAAAGGAACGCACCAACAATTCATCCATGGCAGCAGCAAAGATTGGAGGTGTCAGTGTTGGATGAAGAGGTGTTGCCTGTCAGTATCGGCAAGGTTTGAGCAACTGCTAGGGGCCCCCTGGCTAGTAGGGGGACCCTGAGGGCTGACAGATTTTAAACCACAGCAGTGACCCAAAATGTGCAAAGTTTGCAATGACAGTAGGAAACCCCCCTAAGAGGTCCCCATCAGACAGAACAAACTCTTGTTGCACTTACCAAGCATCGCGTGTCTTATTACTGTGAAAAAGTTTGTCAATGAAAGACAGTGATGGAAAATAATTTTTTACAGAGGGTCCCAACAGACTCTAGAATCATCACTGCTCAGGCCTCTGGTTTGAAGTGGAGGAAAAAATAACAGATTTCTGAATGAACAAGTAGATATTTTAGGGCTAATTCATTTCTGGGTCATCTCTTGCTCGGAGTAGGTTTGTTTCCTTCAGTTCAGGCTTTATCCAAAGATCGTCTGTGAGTGGTATCAAAATTTGAACACTGACTCTAATCAGGCAGAGAGGATTTACATTCATATTGTGTCAGGGGGGAGGTTCTTTGTTTACTCTTCTTGTTGTTTTCTGTCTTTTTGCGGCAGTTGATTTAAGGTGGGGGTTGTTGTTGGGGGGGGGGGGGGGGGTTCTGGAGACAAAGAAGGGGGACGGTCTGGGACCCACCCCGCTCTGTCTGTTTATGTCTCTGCAGCTCCACATACACACACATCTCACACCACACAAACACATCCTCTCCCTCTCCTGCATACTTTTCTCTCTCAGAAGGCAGATTGTTGAGACCCCCCCCCCCCCCCCCCCCTCCCTCCTGAGGGATCTCCATGTGTCTCTGACATCCCTGCAGGCGATCCCCCTCATGGCTTTATTCAGCACAAATGAAGGACTAACAACGCCCCTCCTCTCCTCCTCCTTCTTCCTCTCCTCTCACTCTGTCTTTAGCATCCTTCTCACACACACACACACACACACACACACACACACACACACACACACACACACACACACACACACACACACACATTCCCTCCCGGTGTATGAAGGATAATGATAGAAACCAGCTCGGGGGGGTACAGCGTGTCAGAGAGACATTGTCAGTGTGATGAGGGACATGTTTGTGTGATTGTGTGTTCATGTGAATGCGTCGGTGATGATGGTAAACCACGACTGCTCGCTGTCCCTTAAGGAAGTCAGATATTGATTTGTGTTAAGAAGACAGTGGAGGAATGAAGCAGAGGAGGAGGGAAGTGGTGTAGACGTGCAGGGTGAAGAGTAAAACATGTCTGCTGGTTAAGAAGAAATAAAAACTACAGCCCTGATCCTGAGACAGTTTCTTCTTCTCCAACGTTACAGAGTTCATGGAAGTGCAGTGAATAATTCATCTATTCACTCTTCTTCTATGGATTTCTGCGCTTTTGTTGTTGAAAAATGGCGAGATTAGTGGCATAAGCGCTTCCTCTGATTCTTTGATGAACATACGTGAACCTGATGTTTACATGTGTACAGATGAATAAAGCCTCATTTCCACCAAGCGGTCCGGTTTGGTTCAGTACGGTTTGGTACGCTAAACCCTGATTGTGCTTCCATTTCCACAGCCAACCGTACCTTAGTGGGGTAGTAAGCCAGGTGGAGATAGCTGTGTAAGCTATGTAATAGTGTGACATCATAGCAGCGCAGCAGAAGAACGGGACGAATTAAACAGAGGGCAACAATGGAGGATGTCCAACAGAGGTCTGCACCTCCGAGGTGGGCCACGGGGTGGAGCTGACTTTAGTCGCAAAAAACAGCCTTGAAATGACTCTCTCAAAATTAGACAAAGTAGTAGGTGTTTGTTCTTTATTGCCGCTGTTGCACAGGAAGTGACAATTCTTTCGACCAATCAACAGACAGCAGTATGTCTGGCTCCGCCCTATAGGGTTGGATCGGTACGCTTGGCACCCCGACAGAAGGGGGGCAAAGAAAGTAGGACGGTACTGATCGGTTATTTTGGTACCATTCCAAAGTTTTGACAGTTAAACACCAATGAATGCGTACCGAACCAAACCAAACCGAATTGAACCAGACCGCTTGGTGGAGGCGAGGCTTAAAAGAAGTACTCATGTTTGGACCAACAGAGACTCTCTAGGTTCCTTTTGCACCTGCTATTGGGGGTTGTTGTACTTCTTGATTGCAGTGTGAGTAGAAAAGGATGGACACCCAGGTTGGACATTTCTCAGTTGAAATAGTTTATTCGGGCCGGCACAAAAAACCTGGCTCTTCTGTCATTGTTTCTGCAAAGTGCAAACAACTTAAGATTGCCTACCACCACCGACTGCACAAGAGTGCACCAGAATCAAACATCTCAGAACCGCCACAGTTTAGTGTCTCATTCTGATGTTTATGGTGCAGAAACCGTCAAAGTACCTGAAATAATTGTGTCCAAACTAAAGTGAGTCCATCTTTTTGAAGTATAAAGATATCAGGAAGGAGGAGGTGAAAATTCATTTCGAAGTGAGAATATGTAGGGTAGACGATGAGTGTCTGAGAGAAGAGAGGTATGAAAGAGCTCGCGGTGCAGCGAGGACGAACAGGCTGAAGAGATCAGGCTGTTAGTGAAGAAGAGATGCACACAGGACAGGAGAGTATTACACTAATGGCTGTGTGGGCGTGCAGGCTGAGAGGACTTTAAGGAGCCTCTCCTCCTCTGACCTCTTTTTTCTTCTCACACATTTATTAGACACAATCTTTGAAAAGCTGCTAAACTTCAGTCACACATCAGCAGTCGAGTGTAGACATAGAAAGCACGGAGAAGAGAAGAAAGGAAAAAGGAGTAACATTTTTATGAAATATTGTTCATGATGTTTAAAACCCGGATGAAACGTGTGCCTCTGTCACTGTCAAATAAAGGCTGATGATGAGAGATAAAGGCAAAGAAACACAAAGTTTTTTATAGATATAAATTCATATTTTGTCACATTTCATGGTTGCGATCGTGTGTTCACCGATCCTCAGTTGATCCTTTATGTTTTCCACATGGACAATACAGTGTTAAGAGATGAAGCCGATGCTGAAGTTTAAAATCCTGCAGTTCCCAGAGTGTCCACTAGAGGCTGGTGGCAGAAGCACAGGAAGTGACATACACACCCTTTCTGAAAAGCCTGTTTTTACAGCAGAAATGAACATGTTTACAGCCTGGTTCTAAAAAGAACAAAAATAGGTCTGATTAATTCATGTCTTGATCGGCACACACTGCACGAGGGGGGGGGGTATTTTTTGAAAACTCATCATTTTGATTTTATGAAGGATAAAAGTTATTCACAACAAGGCTCGTAGCTGACCTGGTTGACAGACTGGATAGTCAAGAGGCATAAAACCCGCCTCAGCTCCAACTCCAGCGCCCCCTGCAGGAACAGATGGGTGACGTCACTCAGGCTTCATCCATTCATATTTAGTCTATTTTCAAACTGAAGCTGTTCTTTAAAGTGTTTCAGTGTCACTGAGCAGGTCAGCGCATATGAAATAAAGTGTACTAATGAGTATCTTCTCTCGTCCTTTTGTCTCCATCCTCTCTCTCTCTCTCTCTCTCTCTCTCTCTCTCTCTCTCTCTCTCTCTCTCTCTCTCTCTCTCTCTTCACAGTGAAGGGGACTGGTGGGACGCTCGCTCGCTCACCTCCGGTGGCAGCGGCTACATTCCCAGTAATTACGTGGCTCCAGTGGATTCCATCCAGGCCGAGGAGTAAGTCCTCGTGTTTCTGTGTGTGTGTGTGTGTGTGTGTGTGTGAGTACGCTGGTTCAGGACTTTGATCCAGAGCTCACTCTGAAGCAGAGAGATTAGAGAACGCCGGGCAGCAAACTGACAGCAGCACATGTGCAAACTTCTAAAGGAAAGAGGAAGAAAAAGTCGCCGTCATCCCTCAGTTTGTACTTTCTCTCCAGTGCAGATGATTTAACAGATAAAACGTTTGTGTGACACTTTAAAGGAATGGATTCAGTATTTAAAATACCATCCAGACGCTGGGTGAGAGGTGGGGTTTAACAGAGAGCACATTCTTTGTTATTGTTTTGATAGAGAGCCCCCTGGTGGTGAAATCTACATACTGTGTGTTTAACTACACTTGATTATAGACAATAACTGTTTGTCTGAACTTGAAACCAATAAGTTCAAACCATACATTTAATGAGGTTTTGAGTCTTGCCCACTTTTCTCTTGAGATTAGCTGTAGAAGAGTTTGCAGAGATGGCTGCTCTCTCATTTTTATGTGACAACTGTTTTGAGTGGGTGGTCCAAAAAGTCTAAAGGTCTACATTAGTCAGAATGAAGTAGGAGTAGGAACATGTAAAATGTACAGTCATGTTTTGTTGCCATTAGAGGAAGACAAGGTAGGTGGGGAACACAAACAAAACAACAGCTTATTAGAAACATGCAGAGGCTTTTTAGGTCGGGTACAATCACTTCTATCTGAACCACTTCTCTTGACCGCTTCCATCACTGCAACACCTGTTGACCTGATAACTGCTCTCATATCTGACAAACTGAGGGACGTCCAAAACGGCCGCCTACCTTCTCTGGTCCAAACAAATAAAGGTCATCCAGGACCAGAATCTAAACGTAGAAGGAGGACATACTGGCTGCTCTAATTCATAACAAATGTTATCTCTAGACTAACAGACTGATCAGTCTAATATTAACATTAACAACTGTAATGGTGATGAAACAGGGAGGACTGAGTCTGTTAATTATAGAGGTTGAAGTTGAGCAACTCTCAGATGCACTTCAACGTTTCTAATAATGATAATAGATGTAAGGCTGAGACTTCTGTAGGGATGGTCTGGAGACATTACGCAGGGCAAGGATGTGCTTTTTTTTTTACCACATTGCTCTTGCTTGCTCCATTCAGTAAAGGAAAAAAAAACCTGAAACGATACCCCTCCCCTCCAAATGCATCATTTTTATGTTGACAAATCTGAGCTCCATCAGCATGAGCACTCATCTCCATGAAGAGTGAAGGTGCAGACCGCTTCTCTCCACATTCAGACCAAAACCCAGAGCAAACTGCATGGAGCAGAACAATTATGGATGTGTTTGTGTATCATGAAGAGTGTCTGCTTTGTAAATTAGACTTTAAGACGGAGCAGAAAGCCGGAGCAAATGATGAGCATCTTAAGGCAGCTATAAGGGTTGTAATTCATCCTTAGTGAATCAGGCCCTCAGTGTAAAGCTGCACTAGCAGTCCCTAGTGGCTGCAATGCTTCTCACATCTGGCATTTTAAAGGATTAAAAACAGTGTCCTGAAATGTTGCTCTTCTCCAAGCCTGCACCATCATGTGGTTAAAAAGATTTTTTTCTCAGCATGTCACTGATAAAAATAACAAACGAATCTGCTCAGTGAAGGTCACAGCAGCCTGTCAAATACATGATATCATCTTTTGTAAGTACATGCATTTCTTGGCCAGTGGACATTTTGACTTTCTTATCACTAATGGAAAAAGATGGGAGGTCAATATGAAGACTGAACATCCAACATCGACATCCAGAGTCTGACTCCTGGCCAGTGTGAGAAAATCAGAAAAACAATCAGAAAAACAATCTGCTAGATTTGTCCCGGATTGAACCAGAGATTCTCAAACTGTTAGTATTTTATGTCAGCCTGGCTGCTGATGTGTTGTGGGAACCTCAGATGCACATCTGGACTCAGCTTTTATTGTGAACACATTTTCTCAGCATCTTCAGGTAATTATTTTTTTTTTAAGGATCAATCAGTAAGATCTGTAGTGAGTGAAATGATAAATTGATCTTACTATAAGGTCAGACATTAAGGAAACATGCTATGTTGAAGTGCTGGCTTCTCTGACAACAATGCAGCAGCCAGTATGTCCTCCTTCTAACTTTAGATTCTGGTCCTGAATGCTCTGGATTTGTTTGGACCAGAGAAGGGAGGCGGTTTTAAGGCACCCCTACACGGCCGTTTTGGACGCCCCTCAGTTTGCCAGATATGAGAGCAGTTATCAGGTCAACAGGTGTTGCAGCGATGGAAGCGGGCAAGAGAAGTGGTTCAGATAGAAGTGATTGTACCCGACCTGAAAAGCCTCTGCATGTTTCTAATAAGCTCCACGAGCAGAAACGTGCTCAAACTAGGATCAATATTGGAGATGCTTTTGAAAAATGGAGAGAGGTTAGAACACAGAAAGGTTTACAGACCCATGCAGAGCTGGATAAACACTGAAGCTACAGTGTCTGCAATATGGCAACCTGTGTGAGTATCGACCCTAAAGAGGAGGGGGCGGGGGGAGACAGCTCTCTGCAATGTTTTGAATTTGGACTGCAGTACTGATTTTAAACACTAGGTGTCAGAGTTACATATTGCTCCTTTAAGTTCTTGCACACCGTCTTCCAGTGACGGGCCCTGTGTCATTGAGCATCAGCAACACTCCTGATCTGCAATGTAAAATAATCTTGTCTTGTGCATGACTAACACACTGGAGTCAAAGGAAGAAAGGCGTTCTAAATGTGTCGTTTCCCCCCTTGTGGTTGCAGCTGGTACTTTGGTAAACTTGGCCGTAAGGATGCTGAGAGGCAGCTGCTGTCCACGGGAAACCCTCGAGGGACCTATCTGATCCGGGAGAGTGAAACCACTAAAGGTAAAACCACACACAGGTTTAGTTAATCCCGGGGAATGTGTCTGACCTCAGATAGTAAGTATATCACCTACAGAGGAATTACTTTAAATACCAACCTTTGAGTTTTCCAGTGTTCAGTACTTGTGAAGGATGATTCATTTGTTTTAAAACATGGAGCCTTTAGAGTCTTTTAGGTGACAATGACGATATTTAGGATGGTTTTGATCTGATTAGATGGACGATAGATGATATATTAACTCCTCTCTAGATCCTGGCTTGTTTTGTACTTACTCTCTGTTGTTCATCACTTTGTAAAAAAGCGTCTAAAAGTGTCTTAAAGCTCAAATGAATTATAGAGCTGTAGAGTTCCTGTTGAGTTGTTTGGTGACTGAAACCCGGGCCTTTCTGTTCTCTTAGGTGCCTTCTCCTTGTCCATACGGGACTGGGACGATGTGAAAGGTGACCACGTCAAGCATTATAAGATCCGCAAGCTGGACAGCGGCGGCTACTACATCACCACCAGGGCTCAGTTTGACACGCTGCAGCAGCTGGTTCAGCACTACTCAGGTACAAACACAGAGCTCATTCATGACCACTTTAGGCTTTTGAATCTGGATATGAATTAAATCATGTGAGTTTGATAAGTTTTGATAATAGAAGTTAATGCAATACCACCATTTCTTTTCCTTCATGGAAGTAGCCTAATGAAAGGATATTTACAAAAGACGTAAAAATTCATATAATGGATTAAAGGATGATTTATTTGGGAGGTAGATTCAGCTTGATTTGAGGATACACGGTGACAGAGACACAGAGGAAGATGGACACAAAGACCAGACTTAAAATTGCCTGTAGAAAGCTTTAAACATGAACAGTCTTTGACAGACTACATTACCCAGAAATGAGTTCTCACCTTGTCTGAGACATGTTTTCTTTATGTTTGATTGACATGAAGTTATTGACCAGTGCAGCTTTAAACACACCACACTGAAAGAATCTGTGTTTGTGTGTTTGCATATGAAGCAATTAGCCTCAGAGCCACCGAGGCTGCAGGATGAAAACATCTGCATTAAAAACAAAGGGATGTTTCCAGCGAGGGATTTGTAATGATGCAGTCGGTCACATTTTGCACGGGCTCAAACAGCAGCGTCAAAAGCCCTCCCTCCTCTCCCCGCCTGGTGTCCGTTTCCTCAGATTGATCCAGAATGCATTAAGCGGACACAGTTACTCTGTAATTGCATCTGATCTGCAGCGCACATTTACACATTAAGGAGGAATCAAAGGTGCCACTTATCATGAGGCACAAGGAGAAGAGAGGTGGAAAGCTCAGTGTATGTCAGCTAATGTCACACATCTGCTGCCTAACATACACTTACAGGTATTTATTTATATACACGTCCATTTTTAGGTCATTGATGGAGAAACATATGTCGTATCTGAAGAGGAAACCGAGTTAGAGCGTCAGATCATCCACATGTCCAGGAGTTTGTTTTCTGTTGTCACACTTATTTAAGAGGCGAGAGGGCGGTTACTGTCCTTAGTTTTACTCATACACTCTGACTTTGTCTCCCTCTTTCTCTTCAGTTTGTCTTCATTGTTTGTTATGTCACAGAGTAACAGTGATATATCCACCACTCTGTGTCCTACTAATCTATAAACGTGTTATTTTTATCACTCCCTCCCTCTGCTGGAGAAAAAGGATATGTCTCCTGTCATGCTCCACTTGTCACATTGACTCATGATTTTTCTGTATGTGTTTGTGTCCTCACGGCACAATAACCGCTCCTCTCCACATTTGATCAGCGCTCCGGATGACGTATGGAGCCAACGACACGTCTTTGTTAACAAACCTTGACTCTTTTCAGGGCTTCTGCTGCTTTCTTTGCTTTCCTCTATTTTTCACGTCTTTGACGAACTCCGGAGCATATATGGCTTCATATAATGTCGCTTTTCTTCACATTAATGTGAAAGGATGAAAGAGGAAGCTCAATACCAACCTCCTTCAAAGTAAAACATGTGACATTTGAGAGAACAAATAACTCGTTCCCTCTGATTCAAAACATTTCAAAGACAGGAAAGCCACCTTGATTTGTTCAAACTTGAATAAAGAAAAGTTTTGCTGTTATAGAAACACTGAGTTAAAGGTCCAATCTGTAAGCTCTGTAGTGACTGAAATGATAAAGTGATCTTACTACATCATCAGACATTAATGAAACATGCTATGTTGAAGTGCTGGCTTCTCTGACAACAATGCAGCAGCCAGTATGTCCTCCTTCTAACTTTAGATTCTGCTCCTGAATGCTCTGGATTTGTTTGGACCAGAGAAGGTAGGCGCTTTTAAGACACCCCCACACAGCCGTTTTGGACGCCCCTCAGTTTTTCATATATGAGAGCAGTTATCAGGTCAACAGGTGTTGCAGTGATGGAAGCGGGCAAGAGAAGTGGTTCAGATAGAAGTGATTGTACCCGACCTGAAAAGCCTCTGCATGTTTCTAATAAGCTCCACGAGCAGAAACGTGCTCAAACTAGGATCAATATTGGAGATGATTTTGAAAAATGGAGAGAGGTTAGAACACAGAAAGGTTTACAGACTGATGCAGAGCTGGATAAACACTGAAGCTACAGTGCCCACCACATGGTGACCTGCTTGCACATCGACCCTAAAGAGGAGGGGGCGGGGGGAGACAGCTTTCTACAATGTTTAGAATTTGGACTGCAGTATGCATTTTAAACATGAGGTGTCAGAGTTACATATTGCTCCTTTAAAGGAATGTCGTAACCTTTCATCAACCAGAACAACGTTATCATACTCTAAATTAAAAGCAGGTTTGTGCCGAAACAGGAAACACAGTCGCCTGAGCTTAAGACAGTACAACCATTCAAAATAAAAGCATATCGAAAAAAAATTGAAAAGCAAAATATTATTTGAAACGTGCAAAAAAATGTATCTTTCGACAGCCCTGAAAGGAACGCTGAGTAAATGTAAAACAAAATGTATTGAACTCTGATCAAAGCAGAACATTCATCAGTTGAAGCTGCCGTGCCTTTCTAGGAAACTTCCACTGTTTGGATGCATGTTGTGTGGAGACCGTCCACATATCGACAGGTTTTATGACGGCCAGCAGAATGAACACGGAGCTGCATCGATTCATGAGTGCAGCAGCTGAGGCAGCAGGCGGGCGGCACAGATGGGCTTTGATGGTCACAGTGCAGGTAGAACAGTGTCACGGGTCAGACGCAGGCCGTTATCTCATCTTTACTGCCCCGTGCAAACATCCCCAGCCTTATCACTGGCAGCGAGCGAGGAGGGGGGTCACTGTCCTGGGAGTATTAAGGGGGGGAGGGGGCTGTTACTAGACATCAACATAGAAGTACCAACGGAAACTCTGCCCAAATCCACTGCCCGAATCAATGAAGGGCAAACATGAGCGCTTCCTCCAGAGTAAACGCGAGAGATGTTTGATGACACAGATGACAGGAGGTCACCGCTTAAAGAGAAAACAGCCAATGGAGAGGATCGAAGAGGAAGCAGCTGGAGGACCACTCTGCTGCCTAAACAAGGCTGTTAATTCTTCTCATGGTGCAGGAAGTCCCTGAGCTCCATCTTTATGTTTGACCACAACAGTTCATGTACATTACCCTGAGGAGTGACCGCCTGAAAGCTATCACTTGACATAAATTATGAGTTATTATCGTTAAAAGACGAGTTATAGATGCAATTAGTCAAAACGAGCCGTGTTGACCTTAAATGGCAGACGACGAGTTGTTGCTTTTTCTTCGATCTGCACTGCAGATTTTGTAGCAACGTGAGACACTTTACTGTCATTCAGAAAGATGGAGCCACACTTCAAGCATTTCAGGATCAATTTGCAGGGGAGTGTCCAGACTTTTCTGACTCGGGGCGCCCAACTGGGGCCCCTACTTATGAAGGGGTGGCCAGTTAGTTATTTGCACGTAAGACAGTGTTCATACGTTGCTATGCACCTGTGTCATGAAATAGATGTGAAAAGTATTTATTTACTATTTAAAATAGGAACAAAAAAAAGAAGATACTATAAGCAGCCTTTTGCGAAAAAACCCAAATAGTCGTTTTTTTACTCAAGTCCAACCTCTGACGAGACAGTTTAGGATTTTTGCGATAGATTTCATTTAGATATGAATACTTTAATAAATGATATTTTAAATGTTAGTAGTCAAAGTAGAAATTAAAAGTGGATAGAGAACGTATGAATAAATACTTTCAATTTGAGTGGGCAGAGAAACTTTGGCTGTTTTTTGAAACTTCCTACTTTACTAGTTCAGTTTGCAGCATGTGAACAACATCGGCAATATGCCAAAAATACCTGGATGTCGTGCTGATTAAGGAAAAATGTACAGTATGCATCAGACCAGTCTTCCCTGCGTACTTTTTCCCACAATGCAGAGCATCAGGTCAGAGCTCAAAATAACGGGACAGTAACGTCCTCTGTAAGTGGAGGCTACACTGTAGCAGCATTTGATGTCAGCTGGGCTGTTGTTAACTTCCTGTAAAATAACCACCAACTGGCAGACATACTGCAAACTACTGTCAAATGCAGTATGCAGTACATATGTCTTACTGCGTTCGATAGTAGTTTGTAGAAGGGGGTTTCAGAAACAGCCTCAGTGTCCCTGCTGCCCACTGCAGCTGGTTGATCAGTACATGTGAATGGAAACACTTTTCATTTAACTGCAGTAAACATTAATGGAAGATGTCAGTCCCACAGTTTCTAACCTTTCACAATAAAACACACAACACCAGGGATTCAAACTAAAACTGTGAATGCTCTAAAACAAAAAAAGGTGGTTCTTCTGCAAAACCAAAGAAGGATTCAAGCATTTTAAAAGGACTTGAAGTCTCCCCTTCAATGGTTCAGACCATGAAAGCTCATCACCCTCAATATCTCCTCTATGAGAACTGCGGGTGGCGTTTTAATTTGTGTTCAGATGTGTCGGAGTTTGCAGCACTCTGGTTGATTTGATGATCAGTGTGAATCATAGAGAGCACATTAGACTGATTGCTGCTGCATCACCTGACCTGTAAAGGATTTTCAGCTTTTATAAGAACTCTTTGTTGTCTTTGTCTCGAGAGTTGTCTTGTTGCTTTGAGTCTTCCACTTGTCTGCAGAGAGCTCCGCTAACTCTTTTCGAATCTCTCCCTTTGCTTTCACCTGTGCATCGCTGTGCCGCGCCCTGTGCAGACCGAGCCGCCGGGCTTTGCTGTCGCTTGGTGGTTCCCTGCCACAAAGGGATGCCCCGCCTCGCCGACCTGTCCGTCAAAACCAAAGACGTGTGGGAGATCCCGCGGGAGTCTCTGCAGCTCATCAAGCGCCTTGGGAACGGGCAGTTTGGGGAGGTCTGGATGGGTACGGATCCAGACACCTGTGGTAGAGGAGGCTACATGGAGGTGACCACGCTGAGCCAGCAGAGACACCAGACTTACAATCACGAGCAATTAATCCGGCCGGGTGGGAGGGGAGGGAGGGGATCAAATGAGAAAATAGGGCAGGAAATTCTGATAATCTCCATGCCAGAGAAATAATTCTGTCTTCTGACCCCTCCCTCCAAAAAACAACATGTGTAAAACATCCAGCGTGTCAGGAGACTCTGCTCTCTCAGTGTCAAGATGGCTGCCTCCATGTGACCTCACTGCATGTTCCTCTCCCCGATAATCAACCCTGTGTGCCTATCCCTCCCCCTCCCCCCTCCTCCTCCTGTAGAGAGTGCGGATGGTTTGTGCTTTAATTTAACGGGCGTGTGTGTGAACTACATCCCCGACACTGTGGGCTTGAGTCATGATGCCTGGGAGATCAGCAGAGACGCACTTGTGATGGAAGTAAAGTTGGGGACGGGATGTTTTGCTGATGTGTTTTACGGTAAGAGAACCCTCCCCAAAAAAAATACATTTTTGATGCTCAACATGGCCTCCCTCGTGTGCTATTCAGAGATCAAACAAATTCAGTTTTATCCTTCAAACATTACCCCAGGATCCATAAAACAAAACTAAAACATAACTGGTAAAAAATAAAAGTGATTGTTTTAACTTAAACGCACTCAATACATAAACCAGAACAAACAATTAGAGCAAACTCATCAAAACCCAAATTTCTGATATTTTTCAACCAATCAGAATAATTTAATGAAAAATTATACAGTTTGGATCTAAGCCAGTTCAAAACATGTGACAGAACAAAGACACGGAACAAAACAAACATGTTAAAACTAAGGCCTGACCGATATGGGACTTCTGGGGCAGATATCGATATTAGGAAGAGAAAAACCTGATACCAATGTATCGGCCAATATCTTTAGATAGATTTAGATATATACGTACTTACTTTATGTTGATCAATCCAATGCAGTTATCAAACTCTTGAGGAAAACATATTTAGTGAAGACGAGATGGTCACTCGACTGGAAAGTATCTGCGGTGTAAGTGCATCACTGCTAGACACTCTACGAGGGTGATGTTGCTTCTTGTAATCCATATAGCGCCCTCTGCAGGTGAAAGAGAACTGCTAGTGTAACACAAAGAAACTCAAATTAAATGATATTTGACTGGTGAATAAATCTAGTAAAATCGGTGCTGTGATAAAATTAGCCGACACCAGTAGTCACTCGATATCGGCCGATATTATTGGCTGGCCGATTTATCGGTCGGGCTTTAGTTTAAAAAGAAACAAGTCTTTTCCCATGAACACCTACGCGTCACACTGAAAACATCTCCACGACCCACTTTTGGGCCCCCGACCCACCAGTTTAGTACCACTGCTCCAGAAATTTTAAAATCAAAACCTGCCAAAGTTACTCTGAGTTTAGGTTCAATAAAGATCAGCCAACCGTTTTAGTTAATCTACAAGCAAACCCAGACTGTTATCTGGCCTGTCAGTATCTGAAATGTTGTGAATCATTACATCGTGAGACTTTTTACAGGGACGACGTCGTTCAAAGAGTTAGATTGTTTATTCTTCATTAGCATCGACACATGGCTGCAGCTACTCTTCCTGAGGTCTGCAGCATAATCAAACAGAATACAAACAAATATTCAGAACTAAAATAAAATAAAGTGAATCATACATGAAAGTTCATCCTGACCCCAACACACACCCACTCACAACCCAAAGCCACTCCTACAATATGAACCTAAATAATCCTTAGTATGCCTTCAACAAGACAACAATAAACCTAAGCCGAACAAATAAAGCACAGTTAAGTAAGAACAAAGGTAAGTAACACCATAAAGGCTGCCTCGTGCTGCGGGTAGGAGATGCTGGCTTTGGTTGCAGCTTTGACAACACAGTAGCCGGATTAAGTTTAGCTTGACGTGCTGAGTCTGTTAGCACACGACCTGAAACCTGTTTGGGGTCATTTATTTGTTATTTATTTATTATTTGAAAAGGGACAGTGTACATTAATCAACATTCAGACAGATGTAAATGTACCCGAATTGGCCGAAAGGCAAATTTTCATCTGCAGTCCCTTTGCTAGATGTTCTTTGACATCATAGAATTAAATGTAACCCATTAACATGGTTTCATTAGTCTAGAGACACAACAACAACAACAACAACAACAACAACAACAACAACAACAAAACAACAACAAATAAATACAAATACATGTCATGTGGTATAAGATCCATTACCTGGAAGACAATAGTTCAGGGGACTAACAGACGTCTCTGATGGAAAGCCAACCCAAGGCTGTGGTTCAGAGTCAGACCTATGAATTAAAGGCCTTCTCAAACCATCATGAGTACCTGGATCATTGTTAACAATGTTTTTTTGGTTTATATTTACAAGTATCCCAGGTTTATTTCCCCCCTAAAATACAGAAATGTATAACAATTCCTGTGTATATGTAAGTCTTAACACCCAGTGTTACAAAATAAATAAGAACAACCTTAAAAACAACCGTCCTCTTCCATCTACCAGAAGTGTGTGTGTGTGTGTGTGTGTGTGTGTGTGTGTGTGTGTGTGTGTGTGTGTGTGTGTGTGTGTGTGTGTGTGTGTGTGTGTGTGTGTGTGTGTGTGTGTGTGTGTGTGTGTGTGTGTGTGTGTGTGTGTGTGTGTGTGTGTGTGTGGTTCTCACATCCCAGCTGGACACACACTTAGGACAGGGCTTTCCCCCTCCAGATGACACCCATCCTCTGGGATCCTGTTACCTCAGGCCTCAGCGGGTGACCGTCATCTGCTCACTCCCCGACACAGCTGCATCACTAAAGACGCTGAGCGGACTCTGATTTATGAGCTTACCCTTCAACATTAAACCTCCAGACCCAGAAAATATAATGTACACCAAACGTTACCTGACATTAGCTCTGTCTGCCCTTTGGGTCCCCACTAATACTCCTGCATCCAGTCCTGTCACAGAACGAGATGAACGGAGTCCGTCTTTTATCGGTGTGATTACAGCGATCCATATCTTTTCATGCGTGCTCTGACGCGGTAGCTGGAGGCGGTTTCACGTCGTCCGTGTGGCAGTTAATGGCATGAATCCAGTGAGGAGCTTACATGCTTGCTTTTTGTTAATCATCCTACAAAGGATTATCTGCTCCTGTGTTGGAGCATTGTGGCTCTCAAAGCTCAGCAGGATCCCTCTCCTGGATTTTAAAATCGAGGGTCCACTCTAAATCTCGTACCCATTTAATTATCCTCTGGCATACCTCAGAGCATGAGAATCACGGCCAAGCTTATTCTCATCGTCTCCTGATCTCATTCTGTGCTGCATGTTTACCCTGGTGTGTTTTTAAAGTCACTGTTTTCTGACTGGGAGCTGCCGATCTTCTCCTCGGGTCAGACAGCAGAGTTTTCATTTGTATATGAACCGATCTTCCTGCCTGTACTGATGTCAGCATGTGTGTGTGTGTGTGTGTCAGGAACGTGGAACGGCACCACTAAGGTGGCGGTGAAGACTCTGAAGCCTGGCACCATGTCCCCCGAGTCCTTCCTGGAGGAGGCTCAGATCATGAAGAAACTCCGCCATGACAAGCTGGTGCAGCTCTACGCCGTGGTGTCTGAGGAGCCCATTTACATCGTCACAGAGTACATGGGCAAAGGTAGATCAACACAAACATCTTCACATATATATATATATATATACCACTAACTGAAGCCAACCTTCACACATTAACTCCTGACACTCCCTACAGACTGAGCTACTGCATCCCCAGAAGGACTTTAACCTCAATACAACACACAAGTAATACACTTCGCCATGTTTCTCTAACACTAACATGTGTCTCTAGTCTGTCAACAAACCCCCCAAACGATGAGAAAAGTCCATCCTCTCCGTCTTTTGCCTGCTCCACTTTTCAGAAAATGTGTGCTCAAACAGGCTATTTGGAGATTTTCCCTTCATGACATCACAAAGGGCAGTAACCCCTCCCCCAGGTGGGTGACACTCCCACAGCTAGGTGTTTGTTCTGCCCTCTGAGTCTGACTTCTCACCATAAACAATATGGCAGAGCCGCCCAAGCCCTTCCAGAAAGGGGGCGTGGTCAGACACAGCTCATTTACATATTTAAAGATACAGACACAGAAACAGCCTGTTCTGAGCAGGGCTGAAATAGAGGGGTTTATAGACATGATCAAATATAGGATCAGAGTGGATTTAGAACAAGAAACTTCACACACATGTTTTGAGGAGCTCTGAGACTTATTTAAACTGGTTGAAGAGGAAAAGAATATGTGATCTTTGTGCTGTTTTCACACATGCACTCTTAATTTCTAGAAAATGATTATATTCAAAAATGAGGAGGAGGGGTCTCAGGAAGCAGGACATGGCATTTATATCCTGTGATATATTTTCAGTAGTGCAGATGTGAAAACAGCTTGTTTGCACAGGTCTATGGACAATATCTAAATCAGCCTGCCTTTGTCTCACCTTGTGTATAGATCAAGTTGTGCTGAGCTTTCTGTAACTATTTAAATGAACCAATAAGATCCATAGCTTTAAGAGCAGAACACAAACTCTGAGTTTCAGTCGAAAACCTTTAATCTGCATTACCCTGCTCATGTGAAACAACAACCACTCTACTCTCCCTCAGTGTGGCACAGTGCGTGATATGTGCACAGATGGCACAGATAATGCACCATACCTGATATTAACCATGAGCGAATTAAACTGGGACACAGAATAAAACCTGCTGTGAGAGACGCAGAGCAGTGGTCACACACTGGAACAGAAGAGAGGGGGGAGAAAACAGGTCTCATGAGGGAGAGAAGCCAAAAGAACAATGAGAGAGTGAGTCATGTAACAGCACAGGCAGAAAGTAATGAAACAACAGGAGGAGTTCATAAAGTCTTTAATGATGTCAGTTCACCACTCTCACTGACTGTTTCCCTCACATAAAGTCTCTGCAGCTCCAGCACTTTTAACATTTCAGTCAGCACCACTTACTCCAGAAACGTTTCTTTATTTGTTAATATTTATATTTGGGTCCTGCAGAGAGAGCAGCAAAGAGTAGGCAGGCTAGAGCAGCTGAGTTCGATTAGCCAATAGGATGCTTAAAATCAGCTGGCCAACAGCTGTAATCAAAACACCGGCATGATAGCAGCGTGACTCCGAGGCCTGCCTGAACAAAAGCTAGTCTCAGTTTTTGAGGAGGTGCACGACTATAAAATCAGCGTTGTTGTTGCTTTATTTTTTCTCTGCAGTGAGATCCGTGTTCAGATGTCTGCACACAGGTTTGGGCATAAAATGGGTGGTATAGAGAAGAGTGCTCATAAAGGAGGTTATCATTTTACACATAAATATATCAGAAATCCAGTCTATCCTGTGTAAATGTGTCTCTGAGTCCTGACTGTCTACAATGAGTGAGAAGCTCGAGTCCCGCTGGCTGTGTTGTTGTCATAACTGTGTTTACATGGACGGGACGGTCGGCTCCTCCCCTTGTGTATAAAAGCTGTTTTAGTCAAGAACTAGAGAGAAGAAGAAGAACATACTCACTGATTATTTGGATGTCACATAAGTGTGATCACGCTCATTATGTGTCATTTCATGTGCAACGTGAAGCTACGAGCTAACTAAAGAGCGCTAACATTAGCATGCTAACACAACAATGCAGGAACTGACAATTTCAGTTCAAGCAAAGGACAATTTTGTCTGCGCTTGACTCCTTCGTGCCAATACAAGGGGAGGGGGGTTGGGGGTGTGTCACTGGAGGAGAGCGGAGGCTTCAGTATGACGGAGGTGTGGCCAAACAGCAGTTTGTTGTTTGTTTTTGGTTTCATGCTGCTGGATCAAAAAGTCACACATTTCTTTAATTACCTTATTTTATTTATTTATTTATTGGGAAGAGAGAGAGAGACAGAGTGGGGATTGAAATGCAGGAAAGGAGAAACAGGTCAGATTCAAACCTTGGCCAACTACATCCACATAGCATAAAATGAGGATGAGAGAGGAGGGAAACAAAGAAGGGGAGGGAAGGAGAATACACTTCAATGTTTAATACAATCAGGGCAAAATGAATGTTACAAAAGGATTTCTTTACTGAAACGTTATGGAAAAGATGAAAGAAAGGACTTTGTATTCACTGCACTTCACTCAAACTGTTCGAGGCGTTCCAAAGGCAGCGTGCAGGAATTACATTTCAAATCAGCCCTCTTTCATCAAATGGGATTTTTCCTCTGTTTTAACATTTGCATAGTACCTGTACTCTTCATATGCTGCTGTGTGTTTGAACACTTGGCATGAGCATGCCTGCAGATTTTCTTGATGTTTTTAATCATCGCACAAGAGGGTTTGTTTTATATTCCATTCATTATAAGAGTAACTGTTGTGTTGTGTGGGAAGCCTTCAGTGTTTGAGGCCTTTAACACGATCCATAAAAAGAGTGGAACTCAGAAAGCCACAACAATGAGCAGTGAGTCACCACACAACACGAGAATGGAAACCTTAATGTTCATCGCTGTGTCTGCTACACGTCGGTCAGCCCGTCATGTCGGGGGGAGAGGAATGTGTTTTTAAAGAGGCGTTATGATGATTGTATTTAATGTGATCATTATGTCCTCCAGGCCTTTAGTTATCCTCTAACCATCATTGTTAGTGATTATAAAAGTAGAATGGAACATGCACATTACAAACCTCATGTCTCACAAACACTCAGTCACACGTTGTTGTTGTTGTTGTTGTTGTTGTTGTTGTTATTTCTGTGTTCCTGCACGAGGCGGAGAGGAGAGTGCAGCTGTGATTCACTGAGTGTCTGTTTGTGTTCATGGCCTGACGTCACTCTGTTTGTGTTTGTGTGTGCTGCAGGAAGCCTGCTGGACTTCTTGAAGGATGGAGAAGGACGAGGGTTGAAGCTGCCGAACCTGGTCGACATGGCTGCACAGGTACACCTTCATCAGAAAGATATTAGCTGTGTGCAGAAGTTCTCTTGACATTTACTTAAGTTAAAAAAAAAAAGCTCCCGTCTACAACAGATGTCATATTTTGCACAAAATCCCTGTTGATGTTTGCGTGTGAGTGTTGCTGCAGCTAAAGCGACCGCTCTGCCCTCCAGGTTGCAGCGGGCATGGCCTACATCGAGAGGATGAACTACATCCACAGAGACCTCCGCTCAGCCAACATCCTGGTGGGAGACAACCTGGTGTGTAAGATCGCTGACTTCGGCCTGGCCAGGCTGATCGAGGACAACGAGTACACAGCTCGGCAAGGTGGGGCACACATGATGTTATACAGTATATATGTTCATACTTAATGCTCCCTCACACACTCTGCATGACTGCATCATGTCATGGAGGGAAACTCTCTCAGAGGGCTGCGAGAATGTGCAACACGCCCACAAGAAAATGAGTTAGCTTTGACCTCCAGATGTTTGCTAAACGTGAGCACAAAGTGAAGCTGCACAGAGGCACAGAGTTCAGGAGGAATGTTGAACGCAAACTTATTTTGAACCCTCCGTGTTTGTTGCCTGCTTATCTGTCGGCATTAGCTGTTTTCCTTTAAAGAGAGGAGGATTTTTTTTTTCACTGATGTGTCCGTCCTTTTATCATCATTCAGTCCACACAGACGCTGTGGGAGCTCGTTCGAAGGAGGGCTAACTGTTTGTCAGTCAGCTTATTGAAGAAATCTGCAGACTTGTGAGGATTTTCTTAAGGAGAGGGATTAGGGCCACATGTGAAACATTTATTTTAAAGTCTAACATTTAAGCCAGAGCTTTTTATTTAGTGTCAGTAGCTAGATTTAAAACTTTAAACTCCACTATATTCTTTAAAGTGGGCCTGAGCCTTCACCTACGGTCTTCATATTGGACAAAGTATTTAACAATTTCTGGATATTGATGAAGTTACTCTGTTGTCGTCAGGCTCCAGAACAAATCCAGCAGGTGGTCTTTGAGTTTTGAGCTGTGTTTTGTGAGGAGACTTCACTCGCTGTGCGCTCCATTAACACTCATGTCACCTCTGCTCTCCTCAAGGTGCAAAGTTCCCCATCAAGTGGACGGCCCCGGAGGCCGCGCTGTACGGGAAGTTCACCATCAAGTCGGACGTGTGGTCGTTTGGCATCCTGCTGACGGAGCTGGTCACCAAGGGTCGGGTGCCTTACCCAGGTGAGGAAACAGAAAGGGTTAAAGTGACAGCTGAGATACCGTTCACCTTGAGCCCGCTCGGGAGAAAGTCGATAAAGTGGCCTGATAAGAAAGAGAAGAAAAAAAACCTGTCCTGCATGTCTCCAAAGCACACACACAGCTCTCTCCATGACAACAGGCGGCCCCTCCCTCCTGCTGTCTGTGGGACTAAAAGGTTCTTAAACGCTTGAGTAACCTTCTCTCCCTGCCAGAATGTGAGATAACCCTTAATTAGCAGCCCTCGCCTCGTGGGACAGCTTGAGACAGAAAGTGGAAGAGAAAGCGTGGCGGGGGCACAGGGTGCACTCAGAGTGTGCAGCTCCACGCGGGGAGGGGGGAACACATGTTTGTCCAGATGGAGCTGGTGGGCTGGCCGGGCTTCAGGGAGAAGGTGAGGGAGGTTAGCACACAGGCAGCTCAGGGAGAAGTGTTATGCTAACAGATGTGTGCTAGCAGCTCTCTGAGGGCAGATCTGTGTCCCCGACATCGGTCAGTAGGAGACGTATTTTTACTTTAAGTTAAATTAGTGTTTCAAATAATGATTTTTAAAACATTTATACAGCAATTCAGTTTGGACTCAGTTTAGATTTTGGGTGTTTAAAGGTCAAAGGTAAATGTCTCTCTGATGTCTCAAAGGCACTCTGAGGAGCTGCACATATGATGTATACTACGTGTCGGCATTAATGGATGTAGAGTTTAAACCACAGAGTCTGACCTCAGACATACACTGACATCACTATTATTAAACTGTTATAAAAGCTGTATGTCTGCATGATTTGATCATTAAGGTTAAGGGCGCACTCACACTCAGCAATCCGCACCGTGTCTAAACACGATTCACCCCTAAGGTCCAGTTTGTTTGGCTAGTGTGAGTGGTCTGATCTGTGCTCAAGCACATTACGGGACAACATTGCCTAGTTTGAATGTGCCCTAAATGACAGAAATCCTCCTCACTTGGTTGTTACACAAGCACCTCACAGCAGGGGGGGCAGGGGGTCTCATGAGGCAAGACGTGACGTAAAAAGAACGATGCAGAAGTGGAGGACGCAGCAACCGAGTCCTCTAGACCAGTGGTTCTCAAACTATGGTAGTGGTACGCGGGCTCCCTGTGGTGGTACACAAAGAAATCTCCACAATATAAAAAAATAACCTGTTCAGCATAAAACGACAATTTTTTTTGTCATACACTTATCTTATCTGTCTTGTGTCTATTGGGTTGTATTTGTATCAAATGTGTTTTCCCCTCTAAATTAATCTAGTTTTTGCAACAAACAACTTTAATCTGCTCAATTCATGTTCACACACAGACATAAACAACAACAGGAGTACGCCTCGCGTTTTAAAAAATGTTCCACTCGATATTCTGTTATATTTCAGTCCTGAAACAACAGCAAGCAGCTGTAGGCCTACATTAACAGATATTCTGTTATTTACTGGAGTTCAGTACACAATCGGCAGCAAGCAGCTTTACATTAACATTTTTAAAACAGAACCAGGAGAAGCTTCAGTTTTGATGCATGTACAGACAGCGGACCATATTGCTCCCCCTCCCTCTCTCTCTCTCTCTCTCTCTCTCTCTCTCTCTCTCTCTCTCTCTCTCTCTCTCTCTCTCTCTCTCTCTCTCTCTCTCTTGCTCTGAAGCTGATGTGATTCTGCTCTCTTTTGATGTCTTAACACTCCGCAGGAGTCGAGAGGATTTTTTTTTAAAAGGCAGTTTTGCTATGTTGAATGCAGAGATTTATAATACAGAGGCTCTGTTTGCACAGAGCCTGCGAAGCGCGCACCTGCACTCTCTCACATGCTCTCTCTCTCTCTCCCCCGCTCTCTCTCGCTCTCTCAGGCATGCAGCAATTTTATGAATAAATGAAAAATGTAATGAGAACAGGTCGGAAATATACTTGGGCCCAGGTATCGTCTTTGTGTGGGAAACACTGGAGACTAAATATTTCCAAACAGGTTGTTGGTATAAAGTTGTCATTTTTATTGTTCTGCACTTTTGTGTGTGCAAGTTCTAGAGCTAGCCCTTATTAGGCCTACAGTGTGGCTGCCAGCAGTCAATAATAAATAATATTATTTTTATGAATTATGAATTCCTCTTGCATAAAATGTGTGCAGCAATAAGCCTACAGTGTATTTTAACATCTACCATAATGGTGGTACTTGGAGAGCCAAATATTTTCAGAGGTAGTACGCAGTCTAAAAAGTTTGAGAATCACTGTGCTAGACTATGCTATTAAAATAATATTTGTCTTTATATCAATGTTACATGTAGTTCAACAGAATCACAATATGAACTAAAGAGTGGAGAAGAACATAATGGAGAACAGGAAACATAATGCACCCCCTCCAATTGGCTCACGATTAATTCTCATGGCAGGATAAAGTCAGAGTGAAAGAATGAGTCTGTTTGCATTCAGACATGCAGCAAACCTCTAAAACTTCAGGAGTTTTGTGCAAGTGTGAACAAGGCTGTAGGGATCTTTTTTTAAACCTCTGTGTGTGTGTGTGTGTGTGTGTGTGTGTGTGTGTGTGTGTGTGTGTGTGTGTGTGTGTGTGTGTGTGTGTGTGTGTGTGTGTGTGTGTGTGTGTGTGTGTGTGTGTGTGTGTGTGTGTGTGTGTGTTTCATCTTCAGGCATGAACAACCGTGAGGTCCTGGAGCAGGTGGAGCGAGGCTACAGGATGCCGTGTCCACAGGACTGCCCCATCTCTCTGCACGAGCTGATGCTGCAGTGCTGGAAGAAGGACGCAGAGGAGCGGCCCACCTTCGAGTACCTGCAGGCCTTCTTGGAGGACTACTTCACAGCCACCGAGCCTCAGTACCAGCCCGGGGACAACCTCTAAACCCCCCCCCCCCCCCTCCTCCTCCTCTACCCTCTCTCTCCTCCTGCTCCGTGTAGGCCTGCAGGCTGGGACTGGACTGGCTGAATCAGCGCTGTTACACAAACTCTGGAGCCCTCCCAGCCTGGACTTCTTTTAAGGATCTGTACAGCTTTCTGAGCTCCAACACCAACCCCCCCTACAACACAACCCTCAGTCTACGACACGCCCCCCCCAGTGTCTGAACTCTGCAAATGCAATGATTAGGGAAGAGGCCGGACGGAGGATTAGCGGAGTGAACTGGGGCTGTGATCATGCAATGAAATCCTTGTATTCAGTGTAAATAAGAAAAAAGCTTGTTTTACTTTATTTGTTGCTTCTGTTTCAGATTTTATTTTCTCCTGCACAAAATAATGATAATGATAATGATGATGATGATGATGATGATGATGATGATGATGAAGAGGGCAAAGGAAGAGAAGCATCAGGCACGGCACAGTGAATCTGTGTGTGTATTATACTGTAGCTCCTGTTCACACACATTCTTTTGGAAGTTTTTTTCTCAATTTTCATTAATATGTTAAAAAAAAATGTCACCCACATTTTATTGCTTCGTTCTTCTCTAAGTTTGTGGCGCTCTCGAGATTCACTTAGCGACATCTTGACCTCTGACCTGCTGCTCAGGACGAGACGCTGAGACGATGATGTGACGATGTTGTCCTGATGTGTTTCAGGCTGCAGGATGTGTGAAGGTCAATGATTCTGATCAATCGTTTTCATTTCACCGCTTTCTAATTGGTCATCGACTGAAAGACGATGGAAAGTAGAAATCTGGATATTTTTGGTGGCCCAGTGGTTAGTGCATGCACCCCTTGTACAGAGGCTTAAGTCCTCGAGAGCGGGCAGCCCGGGTTCAATGCTGCCTGTGGCTCCTTTACTGCTTCCCCACTCTCTCTCTCTCTCTCTCTCTCTCTCTCTCTCTCTCAGTTTCTGACTCTATCCACTCTCCTGTCTCTAAAATAATCTGGATATTTGAATATTTTTTGTGCTACTGTCTGACAGTGGACATGATTAAAGTGTGACATGGTTGTAGCTCTGAACTAAGGCAGAAGCATACGTACGTAGCCTGACCTGCAATAATTTACTACGCGACGAAACAACCCAGACCGCAAGCTCGCTGCTAATTGGTCGACATTTTGTCACAGCGTCCACATGTACAACATCGGGAGTCTGAAAATGACGAGAAGATAAAGAAATGTTCTTTGTACCATGAACCTCTCCTCCGATGTCTCCTCTCCTCTTCTTCTTTGTAATAATCTGCTGCTTGATATTTATCAGCTCCAACTCCAACATCATTAGTTACATTTCAGTCGCCATGTTTCCTGTACACAAACGAGCAGAAAATGTGTTGCAGGGCTACGCAGACAAACCAACCCACAAGTACGTAGTGCTTACGACTGAACGAAACTACGGAGTAGTTAAGACTCAACGCTGGAAGTATAAAACCGGGCTGAAAGTCCGTAGTTTGGGTCCAATCATGGAAATAGTGGGCCGAGCAAAGCCTGGCCTGACTGACTGTCATCAAACTGAGGACTAGTCGACCTTAGTGTGACATTTAAGTTCACACAGACGTGATCTCTGGAAGAGGTGTGGACATTTAACACTCTGGAGCGTCTTTGGATAAACCCAAGTTGTGTTTGGTTTCCACTGATCTTAAAGCCTGAGTATTCATGGGTGGTGGTTGACCAACAACTAGAAAGACACATGAACAGACATTTACATCACCTTTGGTCTAAACCACGCTATCCCAACCATGTGGTCCAGACCCAAAATGAGGTCATATGGAGTTCAAATGGGGTCCCCTGAAATGTGTAATTATTGGTCAAAGTAAAAATATCGGAGAGCTGATAGCCTAGCTGTTATGACGTGTGACGTACGTGTATAAATTCTATATTCCCCATCACAGCGGCCGTGGGTTCAAGTCCGACCTCTGCCCTTTGCTGCAGGTCTTCCCCCGTTCTCTCCACTCAACATGTCCTGTCCTTCAGCTGTCCTATCTAATAAAAGTGAAAAATGCAACAAAAACAACTCAAAAAGTATTGGAGCATTCTGCCTTAATTAAGCTACAAGACGTTAGCTCATGCTAAAAACATCTTGCAGTATGTCAGTCTGTCTCTCATCCATGCGTCATGCGTCCAGCGTACGAGCTCACCTGGCTGTTCACACAGAACACAGAGACATCCCGGCCTTTCTGCCCTGGCCACAATAATATACCTGCAGTAAATAAATGTGGTCTAAAATTAATGTTTACTTGGAACACAAGAGAAAAACACTATCAGGATTTAAATTTGAATCGTTTCAGTAAAAAGCTTGATGTGTTTTGGATGCCTGGTTCTTCAGAGTTTTGTGAAGTCAAAGTGGGGTCACAAACTAAAATTGACTGTGAACCAGTGGTCTCAACTTTCACGGTGACTAAATATGATCTGATGTCTCCGAGGAGTTTCACTATCGTTGTCTTTTTAGTCGATGATCATGTCAGAAGCATTGGTGAAATAATGATTTGTTGGATTTCCTACTTTTAAAACCATTTGCAGCTCGGGAACCAGGAACAGGCTCGCCTGTTGATAACAATGGCCACCTCTTAATATGGTTGAATGAAGGAGGCTTCCTCAGACATGCATGATGCAGCTGTCGCCCATCACCTTCATTTACTTCTGTTCTTTCCTCCAGAGCTTCCTCAGAGTGTCAGAGCGTGTAAGGATTTTCAACATATCCCTCCTCGCTTGTTTTCAGAAAGTCTGGGTAGAAATGTTTTTCTATTTATACAGCCAGTGTGTATTTTTTTCTGTGAGTTGGACGTAAGAAGGATTGAGAAGAGAATAATTTTTTAGAAGCGAGTATGTTCGTCTTCTTTGAGACGACAGACGGCGTCCTGTACGTCGTCCACTCGAGCCTGCAGAGCGCCGGCGTGCAGCTGCATCTGGACCCCCCTCCCCGAGTTCCTGCTTTTTATGTTTCACTGACGAGGTTTATTCTTTCAGTATTTGAGTCTTTGCTTTTGACAGAGTATGTTTTATTTAACCCTTTTAAGTGATCCTTAAGAGTCAGTGTTCAGAGGAGCTTCACGTCGCAGAAACATTTTAATTTTATTCATGAACCCAGCAACGATCAGGTGGTTTCACATCCGATTGGAAACTCCTTATTTTCAGTTGTACAGCTTTACGGTTCCAAGTGTCGCTAACTTTCCTCCTTTGTATCTTTTCATTTCCTTTTTTTTTTAACATAACTTGTTTTGTTATTTCTGTGATTTGGAGTTTCAGAAAAGAACAATAAAAACATTTTACACTCTTTCCAAGACAATCCCTTTTGTGTTAGGGATTCACAGAAGCATCAGGATTACATTTCAATCAGGAGAGACTAAATTAAAGTGAATGATTATTCATTTAAAGATTGCATATGATCGTCCTTTTTAACCAGTTTAAATAAGTCTCAGAGCTCCCAAAACATGTGTGAAGTTTCTTGTTCTAAATTCACTCTGATCCTGTATTTGATCATGTCTATAAACCTCTCTATTTCAGCCCTGCTCAGAACAGGCTGTTTCTGTGTCTGTACCTTTAAATATGTAAATGAGCTGTGTCTGACCACGCCCCCTCTCTGGAAGGGCTTGGGTGTCTCTGGCTTTCTCGCTTCATGTCCTATTGTTTACGGTGAGAAGGCAGACTCAGAGGGCAGAACAAACACCTAGCTGTGGGAGTGTCACCCACCTGGGGGAGGGGCTACTGCCCTTTGTGATGTCATGAAGGGAAAATCTCCAAACGGCCTGTTTGAGCACACATTTTCTGAAAAGTGGAGCAGGCAAAAGATGGAGAGGATGGACTTTTCTCATCATTGGGGGTTTGTAGACAGACTAGAGACACATATTAGTGTTAGAGAAACATGGAGAAGTGTATATTGTGTAATATGTGACCTGTTAACAGTTTAGGAAAAGATAAACGTGCAATGTCTTTGGCGTTTAGACTAGATCATAATGATTAGAAGGGTAGTGAGACAGATAGCAGGATAGGATACCCCCCTGATGGATCATCATCGATCGGGACACACTGTACAGAGGGGTGTGTTTTATTTATTATAACTTATTAATTTTGATTTCATGAAAGAGTTATTCAAAATAAGGCGTGAGGCTGACATGATTGACAGGTGGGCATATTGTAGCTGTTTGTCAAGAGGCTTAAAACTTGCCTCAGCTCCAGCTCTCAGCCTGTCGTTGACTGAAAGTTAGGCTGAGACAACGGGTGCATTCGAATTGTCCCTCCTATCTCCTTTCACTATCCACTTTACCTTAACCCCGGAAGCATTTAAGTGGTGGCCATGATAAGAGCCGTTCAAATTCTCTAAAAGTTAAGGAAAGGTGGGTCAATGCTTCCTTTATAACCTCCTTTAGCCTAGGATACACTGGACCATCCTTTACCAAAGGAGATGAGATATGCCGCCCACAATTCCTTGCGGCCGCAACATTTAAAGCGAGTCGCGCATCTGACCGTTCACGAACATTAACGATGATCGTAAAGTGACACAGATCATGTAAGAGATAAAAAGATAAGAGACATTTTTATCAGATGATGTTTGATTCAACATATTTCATTCTCTTAAGAATGCTGTGCAGTTGTACATTTGTATGCTTCAAACATTATGTGTAGGTTATATCTTATATTAATGTAACAATTCATTTCATACAATCATATTTATTTTGATGTTGATTTCTGATTGGACAGGAAGCTGATGGTTTCACTTTTGTTACTTGTAGCCTGGTGGTCTATATGTCTTTTATTTCAATCCCAACCTTGTAGTAATTAGATTATTTCACTGGTAAGAAGGCACAGGGGAAAGTTTTTTAGATGCGCTTTTAGTAGTCCATTTTCTGAACATTGTAGTTTCAACACGGCAGACCCACGTCATTAACCTCCGCCGGCCCGTCGCATTTAATGATGTGGCCTAGTGGAAATGTGGTCGGATTGTCAGAGCAACAAGATCGCCTTTCCCGAAGTCCTTTATGTGTTCGCCTAACATCTTTCGTTGACCTCATGACGTTTTCGCGGGGTTAAGGTAAAGTGTCAATATTTACAGTGTCTGATGTTTGTGTGTCGAGCTGGCTGCACACTGAAGATTATTTGTAAAGTAGGAGACCACAGACATAAGCGGCGTGGCTCAGTGGTAGAGTCGGTTGTCTCTTAACTGGAGGGTCAGGGGTTCAATCCCCAGCTCCTACAGCCACATGTCCGATGTGTCCTTGGACAAGACACTTCACCTCAAGTTGCTCCCGCTGACAAATCAGCGATAAGCGAGTATTATACAATAATAGTGAGTAATGTACTTCTGATGGACTCTTTACTCAGCAGTCTCTACCATCAGTGTGTGAATGTGTAGGTGTGACCTGCGGTGTAAAAGAGCTTTGAGTAGTCAGAAGACTAGAAAATAAATATACAAGCTCAAGTCCATTACCATGGACTTGGTTAATGGTTATAACACAATAATCCTCTGATGCACACGAGACGATTTGGCCAGAGCTTGAGACCATACTCCTGCACTTTGTAGAAACCATTTCACAGAGGCTTTTCCAAAAACATGAACTCTCCCAGAAACTTTACGAGATCAAACGTGACTTCAGAAAAAAACAAAAAAAACCTTCTTAAGCGAAAAACAAATAAGTAAGGTGAAAAAGAACTTTGGTGAAATCCTGGCTGAGAAGACGCTTTGTGTTCACCATGTGTGTGAGCTGTAAAAAAAAATCTGTCAGAGCAGCCCAAGCAGAAAGAGTTTAGGAGAGTTACAAACATTCCCCGCTCTGTCACATGGACTGGTTAACAAAGAGTGACAGCACACACAACACCCCAAACAGTGGATCAGCTAAATGGAATTCAGCCATTATCACTGTCATGGATTACACCTGCATCTCCGGACATTTCACACATTCATCTTTGCCAACAACCCTGCAGTGAAATAAAGACAGAGAGAGAGAGAGGTGTGAAGTGTCTGCTGCAGGTGAGCTGATGCTCCTGCAGAGAGACAGAACAGGTGAGAAACAGACACAGACAAATGGGTGGTCAGAAGACTAAAAAAGTGCTGCAAGCTCATGTCCATTTCAATAAATTACAGATTTACAAAGCCAAATAAGCGAGCGGACCATTTCATTTGGTTTTTTGCTACCTTCTCTTTCCTCTTCAACTTCACAAGAGTTTGGATTCTCTGCCGAGCATATCTCAGAGCCGCGTTGAGACACTGAAGCTTCAGTGTTTATCCAGCTCTGCATGGGTCTGTAAACCTTTCTGTGTTCTATCCTCTCTCCATTTTTCAAAATCATCTCCAATATTGATCCTAGTTTGAGCACGTTTCTGCTCGTGGAGCTCCTTAGAAACATGCAGAGGCTTTTTAGGTCGGGTTAGGGTTAGGGGTTAGGGGTCCATCTCTGCAACACCTGTTGGTTTGACCTGATAACTGCTCTCATATCAGGCAAACCGAGGGGTGTTCAAAACAGCCATGTGGGGGTGTCTTAAAAGCGCCTACCTTCTCTAATCCAAACAAATCCAGAGCATTCAGGACCAGAATCTAAAGTTAGAAGGAGGACATACTGGCTGCTGCATTGTTGTCAGAGAAGCCAGCACTCTTCACTTGCTGAAAGTTTAATTTACCTGCTTGCGTTTATTTACCATGCTGGATATTTTTAGCATTTAATCTGTGATCACTCTGTGACTACTCAAAGCACTTTTACACCACAGGTCACACCTACTGCTATGGAAAGTGATCATTATTAACTAACCAGATTCATACACAATCATATCATATGAGTAACTTATTTACCAAGTATACATCGGTCATGTGGCTGAAGGAGTTGGGGATCAAACTCGCTCTGATGCATATAGTTTTTCACCCCAGGAGGTCTCCTAAAGACTGAGATGGTCAGTGAATAACCTTCATCTTTACCAGGATCTAGTCTCAACTTCAAGGGGAAATCCTTAGAAAACGTCCTGATTCAAAGGATTTTCTTAGTATGTCGTTTGAATGTCTTTATACTAGAAAGCTTGTCGATATAGAGTCCTGCCATTATAAATGTTAATACAACTGTACCAGTGTTTGAAATGGGAGAAAAGTCTGTCTCAGCTGGTGAAGTAAAGGCTGTAGCTAACTTCCCATGAGGTGAGTTTTCCAAACGGGTATTTTTCCAGTATCAGCCATTGACTCCTGCTTCTGTTTGTTCTCTGCTGTTTGATTTCTGGATCAATACAAGTGGGACGTGTAAAGTGTGAGTGACTCACCGTCTGAACAAGGTTTACGCAGGTCAAAGTTTCCTCTGCACCTCTGTAGCATCAACCACTTCAGTACATCACAGCAGGGTGGCCTCCCCATCCACAGCCAGATCTGTTGAAAAAATAGGATGAAAGGGGAAAGCTTTCTGGGGCTCAGTCACATGGGGAAGGCCCGTGGAGGTTAGTCAAAAAAAAAACATTCTTATGACCAAATTTGCCAGATATGTTGCAATCAGTAGAGCCATGCCACAACCTGCACAGAGTTAGCATGCCAGAAAAGAAAGAAGAAGAAGAAAAGGAGGAAGCTGGCTCTGGCATTTGACCACAAGAAGAACTTCTTAACAAACTTATTTCAGTCGACTCCAAAGGCTGAAGGGAGCCAGGCAGAGGGAGCTAATGTCATTACATTTGGAGAGACACCCACACCAAAACGGAGCGTTCTGAGAGAGCTGGTTTCTACAGGGTCACAAACCTCCTCTGGTGCTTGATTCATGTTGTATTTTGACCAAAGCACAGCACAGATGTTTCATTTAGACCACAGGGGACTGTTTGAAAAGGGGGATAATATGTCCTCTTTAAATCATATCCTGGGAGGGCCCAAAAATGTTTGACTTAAAAACCACAGCAGTACCTGAAATTGATATTTTAAAGTTCCATCCACTTCAATAAAGAATTAGCTTATCTTATCTTAATTTAGAATCAAATCAAAAGTCTGGGGGGTGAAAAATGTGGAATACACAAAAAATACTTGTAGTAGTAGTAGGTGCCAAGACAGACTCGTGAATGTTAAATAGATACACGGTTTAATCCGTAGATTCAATCCACTACTGGTTGTGATCACCTCATCATTTCTTTTTGAGTTTGTGCACTCTGTCGCTGCACTCCAGTGGAGTGTCTGCGTCTGAGGATGGGACTTCCTCCTTCTTCCTGCAGCTTTATCTGAGCAGCTGCTGCCCCATCCCTCCTCATTTCATCAACACTCATGTTCTCGTGCAGACATCACTGGCTGGGATGCACCTCCGTGGAAGACGCTTCATCTGTGTGACGCTGCCATAGCTCCATCAAACACAGCAGCAGCAGCAGGTATGTCTTTATGTTTTTATACAATTTCATACTAAGAGCAGATCATTTTCACCAAGGGGAGGATATTTAATTTCTGGATTTACAGTGAACAGGAGGAAAGAGGGAATGTTAATATGTCTGGCCTCCCTTCTTAAGATAAGTAAGTCTTAATTAAACAACTATCAACAACAACTGTTATGATGTAACAATGGACAGACATAAAACAACTTTTCACAGAAGCCTTCAGTGCTCGCTTCATTTCAGTGACTTCCATGTGACACCTGCTCTATATTCACCTTCTGTCTTTGTCACTGTGAGTCACAGAGGAGCTGAATCAAATGATTGTGGCTCAACATGTACGGAGCGTCTAATCTCCGTCCGTGTGTGTGCAAGTTCAAACAAAGTTAAACTAAAACAGAAAGAAAAAAATAAACTAAAATGTTTTATGATTTACAATGAAAAAGGGGAAATAGATACATTTTCAAGCCCTTTCAAAATCTTTTTACATTTATTTTAGTATCGGTTTTGAGTGTGCACAGTGGTGCAGTGGTTAGCACTGTTGCCTCACAGTGAGGAGATTCCTGGTTTGATTCCACAACTGACTGGCGCCTCTCTGTGTTGAGTTTAAATGTTCTCTTTGTGCATGTGTGGGTTCTCTCCAGGTACTCCAACTTCCTCCCACAGTCCAAACACATGCTCGTTAGGTTACCTGGTGACTCTAAATCGCCTGTAGGTGTGAATGTGAGTGTGTCTGGTTGTCTGTCTCTACATGTCAGTCTTGTGATTGACTGGTGAACAGTCCAGGGTCTTGTCCAATGACAGCTGAGATCGGCTCCAGCCCCCCTCGATCCAGAACAGTAAAAAGCGGTATAAATAATGGATAGATGGAAGATTGGTTTAGTATACCGTAAAACATATTTTAATAGCCTAGGCTTTAATTTCCTTCAGTCTATGAAATGACCCTTCCTTTATTGTGGACAGGAGTCAATAAGAGACAGGCTTTTAATTATAAGCTAATAAAACTTGTGCACATCACAGACGATTAAACAATTAAAATATCAATAAACCCATTTTAATAAATCACTCGTTTGATGTGATGCAACGCTGCTTCACGGCCTTCATATGAGCATTATTCTGTCTTTCTTGGACAGATGTCATAGTTCCTCTGTATTTTTCTTGTATATTGTCTTTTTTTGATTCACAATCTATTCCAACACTGAAAGCATCGGGGGGCTCTAATTGAGACCTGAGTGGCTAGTAAAAGAGACGGGGCCTTAAATTGGGATGAGCTTTTATTTTGAGATTTATCGTATTTCTTCTTCACATCTTAGTCATCATCTTTCATCTTTATACTTGTATTCAGAGCACCTTCATGCAGCTGCTTCAGTTTTTCAACATCTTTTATCAGTTTCACCGTAACATCTCCGAGTAGTTAAAAAAAAAAGAAAAATCTCTGGTGTGTAAAGTGTCCCCTCACCTGTGTTTGCCCACTGAAGCCTTTCCTCCCTCACCTCTCTAATGGCTTTATTACAGGTATTAGCATGTGAGCTGTTGCCAAGCGGGGAGGGAAAACATGGAGGGAGCCAGCGTCATTGCCTTCGTCACCGTTCAGAAGATCTACTACCCGCTCCTTTGCATCACGGGTATTCCAGGTTGGTATCTCCTCTCCCTGTTTGGCCTGCAGCTGTGCACGCTCGGATTGGTTTTATTAGAACAGTTGGTACCAATTCACCATCAGGTGTATGTTTAACTAACTAATGACTTCATTGTTGCTAATCAATCACTTTTAGTTCTCTATGTTCCAACGTAGTTATCAAGAATAGTATGTCCCCTCCTAATGAAGCACATAAACTAAGAAGAAGCTGTAGATGTTGTGACTTTACTCATCGTTTAGCTGACTGCTTTAAACTTTGGCACTTTAGCAGTCCCTCTCTTTTCAGGCTCAAGGTGACCATATTTCTATCTCTATCCTGGTTGTCAGGTCACCGTCGTACCTTTTCAATCATGGTGGTCATGACATAAGGCACGTCCTGCTTAGTCATCTATTGAGACCCTGTGTCCACCAAGTGTTTTTTCTGGGCACCAGTTTCTTTTTTCAATTGTTTTCAATGAGGAGAGAGTGTAGCAGGCGGTCGTCCCTGATAAAACTTGTAACACCCAGCGTCCTTTTCTCAGAGCCATCCCCCTTTTTGTGCGGCTGCTCAGAGTGCTGGTGGGTGAAAATCTTTCAACTTTGAAGAAGATGGATGTGGACGTCACCGCAATCTTTTTCAAAATTTGAAATATTCCCCATATTTTTGTCTCCTGCAGATCATGCCCTGTGCTCACATCCCCCTCGCTAGCCCTGCTGGTGGAGGGCCCCCAAGAGTGACAACTCTCCTGGTAGCTTTTTAGCTCCAAACAGTGTTCAGGGACTCCATTTTTTCCTTTGAGTTAAAGGGATACTTCACCCGTTCAAACATGAATCAGTATTGACATTGGGTCATATATGTAGTAGAAATGTGAAATACATTTTGAAGTTGGTGCCTTCTTGGCCGAGAAAAGACAGAAAGTGTCTTTTTCGCTGATGTGGATGAAAGACACCAAATCCCAGAATGCACAGCACCGCAGGCCATTCCCACTAAGGTCCTCTATTTACAGACATTTACTACAACACATACGGCCGTTTCCTCAACTGATTCTGAGATTTCTTCCAGAAGGAATTGGCATCTTGGAAACGGACTCTATGTCTGTGTCCATAGGCAAACAGTGAGAGCACCAACACCACCAGGGCGGTTAGAAAACATGAGGAACTAGCGATGTAGTTTCTCCTCCTCTAACCAAAGCAGCCTCCGATGACGCAAAATGACAATTTTTGAGTCATCGGAGGCTCCTTTTCAGACAAGAAATACAGAGCTTTCCCATCTTAGGGGAAAATGAGGGCGGGATGCACGACCATTCAAAAACACTACCAGGTTTATAATGATACAAAACTTAATGCAAATATAAGGATACTGTGAAGTATACCTTTAAGTTAACTGTGTATTCCGTTCAGAAATGTAAGCATAGAATTGTTTCACTTCTCCATCTTTCAAATTTCACTACCAAATCTCCAACCTCTCAGCTCTACTTTTACAGTAGCCCCTGTAGTTGTTTTTGTTTTGGTACTCAGGCCCATATACAGTGCATTCATGAATGCTGTTTCCAGTAGCAACAAAGCAGCCAACCTTTTTTCAGGAGACCAAAAGTACAACAGCAAATGTCAGTTTTCAGCTTCTTGCACTGCTGCCCCAAGTGGCCAAAGTTATCAGTGCATTTAAAAATATGTTGGTTGTTAATTAAACATTTACCAGAGAGATGTCTGCCACTTATTCATCTAAGATTTCTCTGTTTCTGTCTTCCAGCCAACCTTTTCACATTCTACATGATCTGCTTCCGTAAATGTGGGATGTCTGACGCTGCCATCGTTTACCTGAGCTGTCTGGCCATTGTTGACACGTTCTACCTGGTGTGGGTGATCCTTATTGACCTGACCCTCACCTTCTGGCAACTGCAGCCCTTCTGGCATTCCCACCCCATGTGCAACATCCTGAGCTTCCTGCAGTATGGATCGCTCTACAGCTCCTCTTGGATAGTGGTGGTGTTCACCATTGAGCGGTACTTGGTGTTACGCAGCACAGCGGCCAGGCAGCACTTTTCCCAGGTCCGCGTCACTAGACTGACCTGTGTGGCTATTGTCCTGGTGTCACATCTCGTCTCAGTGCCGCTGGGTTGGATCAATGTTGTTTCACCTGTGAACTTGACTGTGAACGGTGAGAACATGACGCTACCCAGGTGTCATTACCGTGATCAGACCTACACAACTATCATTGTGTGGATAACCACCTTCCTCTCAGGGGGAGTACCCATAGCATTGGTCATCGTCTTCAACTACCTCATTGGGTACCATCTGTGCCGTGCAAGCAACCTCTTCACTAAGGAGGAGCGCCGGGTCATGCGTGGGAGGAGCACCAGGGGCATGTTGAGGAGGACCATCCTGCTTCTGGGAACTGTCTCCGTTTCGTTTGTGGTGCTCAGTTTGCCCCGCTTTGTCACATACTGCATCCTGAGGACCGAGTACAACAATGAAAACTTTAACAGAGACAACTACAGAATCCCCATTAATGTGGCTGGAGACTTGGCCAACATGCTGCAGAACCTCAACTCCACCACCAACTTCCTGCTCTACTGCATGGTCAGCCGGCGCTTCAGGCAAGAGATGGTCCAGGTGGTGACTTGTAAGGGGAAGGCCCGTGAGCTGGGCTCTGTCCTCACCCACACCACCATGAAAGTCTTCTCTGTTGTAGATCACAAGGCCATACTGTCCAGCGACAACCGCCCAGTGGTGCTAACCAACCTCAAACACACAGAGTAGAAAGGATCTGAAGGAATGGACAGAAATCAGGCTTTCAAAATAATAACTCTTCAAGCTTAAAAGCATATTTCTCACTTTGCAACTGTGGCTCAGTTGGTAGAGTCGTCACCTTTCAACCAGAAGGTCAAGGGTTCAATCCCCAGCTGAGCAACATGTCCAATGTGTCCTTGGGCAAGACACTTAACCCTGCATTGCTCCAAAAAGTGTCTGCTAAGTGAATTGTAACATTGACTTTGGAATTTGTAGGTTGACATAAAAATCCAAATTAAATTCCAATTATGACTATGCTGGTTTGTACCTCGGTTGATCTGAGACACCCAAATGGATCCCGGTTGCATGGAGTCATTGATGAAAGGCCCTTGATGGGATCCATACAGTGCATACAAAATTTGAATGGATCTTACCCTTAAATTGTAATTAAGCACTGGAAAAGCTAACGACATGAGCCTAGCCGTACTTTGTTTTTTAGTGTTCCGTTAGCAGAATGTTTACATCCGACACACCACTAACGTTATACCTGCTAAACACCAGCGCAGTGCTGCCATCATGAGTGTGACTGATGCTACAATATTTTCTTATTTTTTCTTATTTCCCTGTTTTCTAAAGAGGCTATTTGATATGTGCAGAAGTGACCACGAACCCCTCTGACTTTGTTATGGGATATCAGAACTTTAAGTCAAATTTTCGTTACTTCAGTAAAGTTTTTAGCGGCCAGTGATGGTCATATGCACTCTTGTTTGCAGTGTTGATAAAAAAGCATTTTGGGTTGGGGAACTTTTCACTGTAAAAACACAAGTAGCCACTGAGCAACGTTGTAGGCCCGGTGGCATGACAGGTTTTAATTCAGAGTGTATAATTAAAACACTGTAATTTAGTTTGAAGAACCACTTTTCCCACTTTGCTTTGTTAGCATGGTCATTTACTGGTTTTGTTAACGGAAGAATGTACCACTTTTTGATCCAGTAGATGTCGCCCTTGAGCTCCAGCATGAAACCAAAACAAACTGCTGTTTGGCCACGCCTCCTCCATACTGAAGCCTCCGCTCTCCTCCAGCGACACACCTCCAATCCCTCTCTACTCGAGTTCGCACAAAGGAGTTAAGCACAAGCGGCGGACAAAATTGTCCTTTGCTTGAGCTGCAATTGCTTTTGGCCTGCATTGTTGTGTAAGCATGCTAATGTTAGCGCTCTTTAGTTAGCTAGTAGCTTCACATTGCATGTAAACTGAAACAGAATGAGCTTGATCTAAAAACTGTTACGTGACATCAAAATAAGCAGAGTATGTTCTTCCTCTAGTCCTTGACTTAAATACATTTTATACACAAGGGGAGGAGCCAGTTGTCCCGTCCAAATAAACATGACGTAAACAAGGCCCTGGCAACAGTACAACCAGCAGGACTCGAGCTTCTCCTTCATTATAGACAGTAACACAATTTGGAAATTAGCAATAGCTATATACTCTTTATGCAGTAAATCAGTTTCATGCTTTGTATTGAAACTATGTTAAATTGCATTGTCCCTACTAAATGACTCTTTATTTATGCTTTATTTATTTTAAACATGTCGCACATTCTTCCTTTAACAACACAATATAAATATATGTAATAACTGAATCAACGTGTATGGACCCTTGTAACAAAGATTGTGATCAAATAAAAAAAGTTTAAAAGGCCGTAAAAAGTTATTCTCCAGAGTTTGATTGTAGGTTGATGTTCTTCATTTGTAAGAGGAGACACACTCAGGACCGGCTTTCTAACCTTGTTAACGTTGCTGCTCTTCTAAAACTGATCATGACATTTAATAAGGAAGCAGGAAAGAAAAAGTGAGGCAAAGGTGGAGGATTGAAGTACTAATACTTTTTGAATATAAAAAACATCAGATTGCCCATTAACAAAGAAATTCTACTTCATGTGTCCATCGTACAGACATCCACCAGTCTAAAACAAGGAATGCAGGGATTCCCCTTTATGTCGTTGCTATGGAAACACAGGTCCTCTATTCAAGTGTTCAGATGAAATGCAACTTTTGAACAGTTAACCCTGACTGACTGCACCTGCAGGGCCCACACTGCCAGAGACTTAAGCTGGCCAATAAGCAGTCTCAATGAGATGTTTTATTTGCATAAATGGGTCACGTGACTTCTATTTTGCAAAGTGGGAATACTTCCTGTTTCCCTCAGAACAGGTCTGAGCCGTGGCTGAGGTGGGAAAAAAAGCAGGTCTGAGAAAAAGGAAGGTGTGGGAGTACAGTGAGTACGCTTTTATTCACTTTCATTCAGATGTACAATAGAGAACATGGAGACTTCTGAGTCTGACTTGTTGTTTGGAAAGTAATACCAGGCATACCTGTAGATCAGAGATCTGACCTTTGATCTAGTTCACAGTGTTACAGTGTAAACCAGTTCTAGAGTTACACACCCAGTCAGCAAGGAAGACGTGTGAATACTCCTGAGATCAGCTAATACCTTCCTTTATAAGATGTGTGTATTCATTAAAGGTCATTTTAGCTTTGTTGTGGAAAGTGAATGTAAGGTACAGTGTGTCTCTTTATGTTGTCATGTTCTATTAAATTCCTTCAGCTTTGCTTTCATTTTCACCTCAGCAGAGTCGAGCAGAGACGTATCCTTGGTGACAAGATGGACTCTTTCAAAGGTAGGAAAACAAAAGGGTGTCAGACTCAAAGCAGTTATAAATCAAAGCGTCTCTCATGGTGAAGCTCAAACCTGTCTTCTCCGTCGTCTTTTTTTTAAGGACCGTGTCCTCACATGAGCGTTCCTGTTGAGATGGATGAGAGCATGACATCCTCAGGTCTGGATTTAGCTTTGGCTCCGTCCTGCAAACAGTGCAGTGAGGACGCAGAGACCGCCAGGAGGCCTCAGGAACATGCCTGTGAGGAATATGATGCTGCAGCTCCTGATGCGAGGCAGTGGAGACCACCTGAGAGCCAGTACCAGCCCCCCTTCATTCCGCCTCAACACTCAGGACAGATGAACTCGCCCCGCCTTGCTGAGGTGTGGCCGCGGGGTCTTGGAGAGCGGGCGTCGCTGTATGAACAGGACCTCGTGGTCAACCACAGAAGAAGCTTTGCACAGCCTTCGATCGGGCTTCAGGGCTGCTCTGTGGAGGAGGCAGAAAGCTTGGAGCCCCCCCTCTCGCTCATCTCCGACGCAAACAGCCCCCACTACGTCCCGCCACGGCACCCTGCTGCACGTATGCCCGGTCAGTGTCACACTAATATTTGTTTGGGACCATGAGATGACGGATTCTCTTAATTTCTCTGAAACACACGAGCAGATAACTTAATCTGACCTCATATTCATTGATCTAACAGTGGACGATTACAAGACGATAACATATGTCAGGGGTTTAAACCGCCCCTGAGACCCAAACTAACTAACTTAGCATCATGACCCAACTATTAACCAAGCAGCAACCTCCGGTCTTGATGAATGAAGTCCAAGCGGAAGGGCAAAATCCTGCAGTTGGTCAAGTGTCCGCATAAACACCACAGCCGAAACATTTGATCTTTACAGCATAAATAAACATGTTTAGAGCCTGGTACAAAAGAACTAAAAAGGTCTGATTAGTTATTGTCAACACACACTGTACAGGGGGGGAATTTTTTGTAACCTATCTGTTTTGATATTAAAAACGATACGTGTTATCCATAGTTTGTTGCGTAGCTGACCTGATTGACTGGTGGGCACGATGAAACCCAGAGACTGTTCATCAGAAATGGAGGTGGCCATTGTGTTGTCAGTTAGCCAGACAGTTTGTGGACCACTCCTCTTCTTATTTCATCGTTCTCCCTGCTGGTGAACAGTTGGGTCACATTGTCTTAATGAGCTGTTCACCCTAAAATAGTTTCATTTGTGCGTGTCTCAATGGAGACTTTTAGTGTCCCAAGACAATTATGTAATAGCTAGTGTCATTAGTAGTGGGCTATAATTAGTAGTTTGGGGATATTAATGACATATTTAACCAATATTCCATTTTCTACATTCACTACAGTTTCCTGCAGCACACTATGAGTCTACTCATATCTGCTTTGGAGTTTAGAAACATAAATACTTTCCAGATGACTACATTTAAAAATGGGACAGACAATGAAATCACATGCCAGACATGTAACATTTTATTAAGTTCATCACGATTTCTGCAACATCTGTGAAGAATTACGTTATAGAAGTTGCCTCCCCTGCTCTGTTAGGTATCATTTGGCTGCTGCTGCTCGCTGTGTTTCCGTTTGAGTCTGCATGACCTCATTACTGCAGGACTGGAAAACTGAGAATTTATATCTTCCTCCTCCTCCTCATCTCTCTGCAGGCCCGAATCCAATTCAGGGGAGGTGTGCGTGCTGCCCTCCAGCCAATCTGCCCCATCACAATTATAATGATTTCCATTATAAGCAGCAAGGTTACCCAGCGGATGCACACCAGCAGCCTCGACACCACCAACCGCCAGGGTATGATGAAAAACATTTCTGTTACCATGTGATATTTTCAGCGTTTATACACATAAAACTTTATTTCATTCCCCTCCACAGGAATCCCCCTAATAATGTGCAACCATTTAGACATGCTCCAAACTCCCCCCGTGGACCTGTGGCTCAGTGTGCAGCCCCGCCTAGAGACGTGGTGCACGAGGTCAGCGTGGAGCGCTCCTTTCAGCCTGCTCCAGGTCCAGGTCCAGGTCCAGGTCCAGGTCCAGGTCCAGGTCCAGGTCCAGGTCCAGCCACATGGGAGATCAAGATCAGCCTACCTGAGGAGAGCAGTAAGTCCACATAGGGTCACTGCATGAACCTCTCCATGCAGAGTTAATCTCCAAACTTAAAAAGGGAATCTTGGAATCTCTTTTATTAAGTTTGAGGTCTAAGAGAAAAATGTGCAAAGCCGGTTCTTAGTTTATGTCCCCTTTGGACGGGAGCCTCTCTGTGTAGAGTCTGCATGTTCTCCCTGTGTGTGCGTTGGTTCTCTCAGGGTACTCCCACAATCCAAAGACATGCTCGTTAGGTTAACTGGTGACTCTACATTGCGCATAGGTGTGAATGTGAGTGTGGCTGGTTGTCTATCTCTATAAAGCCCTGTTTCCACCAAGCGGTCCAGTTCAGTACGGTACTCATTTATTGGTGTTTCCACCGTTAAAATTTGGTAAT